TTTTTTATTCGCTTCTTTTATTTTCTTGGCTTTTAAATATAATTTTCCCTGCCACCACATCGATAAAGAATTAATATTTTTGGCTTAATTTGTGAACAACCTACTTCCTGCTTGGCTTGCTCAGCAAACAATTTCACAAAATAATATCAATCAATAAAAAATAATTCATATAATAAAAAAACAAACAAAACATAAAGCAAAAAAAAAAAGAAGTCAAAAAAGAAATACGTCAGAAAACACAAAAACAAATTTAATCATTTTGTTTTGAACGAAAAGTTTTATTTGAATGATGCATCGGCATTGGGACAGTGATGAACTTGCTACCCCTACCCGGCTACCCGGCCGCCCCTCTTCCTCTTGCACCACCCCCCGAAAACCACGCCTCTTGGCCCAAACCCCCCTGATTTAATCAAATATGTGTGTGCGTGTTTCGTCGGCTGGCTGGCGTCGCAATAACAAAATAATTGAGGTGGGTTCGCAAAAATAAAAAAAAAAACAATAAAAAAAAGGAACAAATAAACAGAAAAAAAATGTTGGTAACAAAAAATAAAAATTTATATATTTAAATAATAATAAAATAAAATAAAAATGAAATAATTTTAATAAAAAAAAACTAAGAAAAATGTTAGAATTATTTATTTTTAAATCCCAACGAGCCTAAATAGATTGGTTAAAAAAAGCTGTTTAAATATTTAAAACACTTGAACTCTTTAAAAAATAAAAAACAAATAATTTGTCTCTTAAAAGAGGACTAAAAATGTATTAACTTTTAACTGATTAACATTGAATACTTAATTGTTTTCTTTTCCTTTCTTTTTTTGGGTGAAAGAGCAGAAAAAGAGAAGGAAAAGAGAAAAAAAGAGCAAGGAGAAATAAAAGAGAACTTAAAGAGAATCAAAAGAGAGAGAAAATTGAGAAAAAAGAGAGAGAAAAGAGAGAGAATTGTTTTCTAAAAATTCAGAAAGAAAACCATTCTTTCTTTTTTTAAACGAAAAGTTAAAAAAAAAACAATTAAATTATAAATACAAGAAATAATAATGTCAAAAAATATTAAATATGCCCTAAGAGAAAGTGTTCGAAACTAAAGAGAGTGAAGAGAATCATAAGAGAACCTAAAAGTAACCAAACTAAAACAACCATCCAATCCAATCATTCATAAATTAATCAAAAATAAATAAAATAATAATAAAAAAAAAACAAATTTGTTGACAAAAAGAGGAAGCCAGAAAAAACTACCATGAAAAAAAAACAAAACAAAAGAACAAATAAAAACTATTGTGGAACATCAATTAAATAGCTTAAATTATTCAAATTATTTTTATTTCTTTTTATTTTTGTTTTAAATGTTCCAGTTTTGACTACTAAAAAAACACTCTAAAAACTATAAAAAATCACAGGCCAAAAAATCTTGTTCTTTTAAAGAAATCACCATATATATTTCTCTCAGTGCACAAACGATGATCATTAACTAATCTAGAGAGCAGAAAATTGTATTGAATTAACCAAAATGTTGGCAGACACACGGAAAGAGACGGCTAGCTGGCGAGCGATAGAGAGGGCAATAATCAAAACAATTGCTGACTCAAATTCCAGTCACGAGACTTTCAAAGGCAATTAACCAAAACAGACAATAAAAACAACAACAGAGAGAGAGAGAGGAGGGGAGGGGAGAGGGGGGTAGGGACACAAGTCAAGAAGATAATAGAGCAGACAAGAGACAAGTGACAAATTACAAAGTCCACTTAATTTGCAGGCAGAAGAATCCTAGGGTTTCCTCCCAGCTGGAGGCTGAAATTAAGACAATTGCATTCCAGGATACGTGCTACAGTGGAGACTCTGTGGAGGGGAAGCTTAAGGGGGCTCTTGGAGGGGGTAAAACTATAAAACTACAAAAATAAATAGAAAAAAAAAAAACTACAAAGAATAAAAGTAAAAAAAAATAATCAAAATATAAGTTTCTTAAAGTGCTTCAGTAAACTCATCTTGAAAAAGGACTCATTTCTCTTTAAAATAAAAAAAGAAGAGTTTCTAGTACACCTTTAAAAATTAATAAAAATAAAAACTATCAAAAATATATAGTATAATGTTCCTCTCTTTTTTATTTTCTAAGAATTCTTATTAGAGTTGCTTTATAAAAAGGCATCCTATAAGTTTTAGGACTATATTTTTAATAAGAAATATAAAATAATAAGTTATTATAAAATTATATCATTGTTTTTGTTTATTTTTTAAGCTTTTAACTGTTAATTTGTACTGAATAGTACCTATTTTTCAAGATAATAGTAAGAAACCCAAAAAAAATCGGAAAACTATAAACCATAGCTTCGAAAGTAGAGCTTTTAAGATTAAAACTTATGTAGGAAACATATCTTCAGATCTGAAAAGTTGTCCAAAGATCCAAGTTCTAAGGACTATATCCCAAGAACCTTCCATGGAAACTCCCATAATAGAGCCTTAACTTCAAGACTAATTATGACAAGAGTCTCTATTTTCCAAGAGTTCCTTTGTGATTTCTTCCAAAAAAGGCAGAATTCTTGCAACATATTATGTACCTCCCATTACCATCCACAGGCACTCCTTCTTACAACAAGGACACTAGACAACGACTAGATTAGTTGTCTGAATAGTGGAGTGGGTGGTAGTGGGTGTTGTGCCTTTTCTCCAGCAGGTGGCGCTCACTAAACGTTGCCAGGCAGTCACCGCCACCGCCACTCCTCGTGCGACCTTGCTGGAAAAACATTCAATTCAATTCGATTATGGGGGCATTAGAAAAAGCAACAGAAGTGGTAGACGAACAAGACCAGCAACCAGCAGCAGTGGCAACAGTGGATCACCAACACCAGAAACCGAACAAACAAACAAATAAATGGCCAAGAGAGCGGAATGAAATGAGACAAGTTGGATGGGCTGGCTGGCTTGGAAACCGAATACTCATCAAACAGCAACAGAAACTGAAGAGTTGGGGCTTCTATATAACCAGGCGGGAAGGAAGGGGGGGCTTAAGTCGAAGAAATGGTCTATCACTATAGACTTTGCAGTTTCGAGTTTATTTCATTTTTTTTTTTTTTAGGAATTAAAGGTTAAACATTGAACTCCAAAATTAAATATATTTACATTTACAGTAAAGACTAATTATAAAGTCTGATGTCTTTTAAATAAATAAAATTATAATATAAGAAGCTCTTACAACTAATTATAAACATTTATAGTTTCTTAATTTTAACATCTTAATCTTGAGTGTCTGTCTTATCGAATGACCTCTGTAATCCAACATGTAAACATACATAATTGTTTTTATGACTGTGTAAGTGTATGCTCGTGTGTATGTGTATGTATTCTTGTAAGCATAAATATACGTGTGTGTGGGTACACGTGCGGCGATTTCAATGTCGCAATGCTTGTGGGGGCCAAATAGTTTTGAACTCTACACGTCTACTAAACTGATATCGATATCAGAAAAAAAAAAACAAAAAATAAATACAAGAAAAAACTACAAAAATAAATAGAAAAAAAAACTACAAAGAATAATAGTTAAAAAAAATAATCAAAATATAAGTTTCTTAAAGTGCTTCAGTAAACTCATCTTGAAAAAGGCCTCATTTCTCTTTAAAATAAAAAAAGAAGAGTTTCTAGTACACCTTTTGGGCAAAAAATGTATCTATTTTTGTTTGTCATCTATTTACAGAATTAATAAAAAAAAAGGCAGAAAAAAAGCCTAAAAAAAGCCATCAAAAACAACAACCAACAAACAAGATAAATTAGAAAAAAAAGAGAAAACATGAACACCAGAAATCTTTGAAAGATCTCCAAAAAAAAAAAAAAAAAGAAACCAAGAAACATTGTTTATCAAAATTATCAGCATTTGATGTTCAATTCAAGTTCAATGCCAGAGACTGGCAATTTTAGTTTTTTTTCTTTTTTTTTATAATTTAGTTAAAAATAAAGCATTTAATTAGAAAGAAATTAGGGGGATATCTCAAAAGTTAAAGGTGAATACATCAGTACCATGTATTAATGATATTTGTTTGAGATTGGTAAGGTAAGAAGGTACCTTTCATATAGAGATCTTTTTTTAATATTAAATTATTCAGATGTTTTATTTACAATATTAATACAACAAATAATATAATTATCATTATAATATATGATAATATATCCTTAGAAATTCCTATACTTCTATATCGTTAATCCTAAAACCCAACAACCTCAATATTTACTTTCTGAGGCACATATTTTATTATTTTTTATTGAAAAACTCTCATGTCTGAACTATATTTTTGGACTTTTGATTAAGAAAGTTTTTATAATAGATTATAAAAGAGGAACAGATCATTATTCTTGAATCTTTGAATCTTCAAAACTGAATAAAAGATCTTAATAGATATATAATTATTATTATATTTTAAAACCTACCCAAAAAACCCTCAAATTATGTTATTTTATTGAAAAAATTCTTAAAATGAGTATAAACTTTGAACGATTTCTTAGAAAACACTTAATAAAAGATCATATTAGACTGATAGACCATTATATTTTGAAACTTTACTTAATAATACCCCTAATTCTGTAGGAAAATAGATCCTAATAGATGGCTAGATATTCAGACTTTGTATCTGAACCCAAAAATACAACGAATTTCCACAAAGATGGTTTCATTTTATAGAAAAGACAGTCCTACCCTAAACAATTGCTCAAGAAAACGTTTATAATAGATCATAATAGATAGATATATCATCATACAGATAGATATCATCATAACTTGTATCATAAAATAAACATATCCCCTCAAAATAGATCAAAATAGATAGATGGATCATCGTATCATGAATCTCAGCTCCATATTCCCACAAAAGGGCTTAAATATATTGATACTTTTGGGCCAAAAAATAATCAAAAATTAAAGAAAAAAAAAACAAGAGCAGTCTTAAAGAGTCATTAGGTAAAAAAAGAGAGAGGTGGGGTGGGGTGGGGTGGAGTGGGGAGGTGAAATTAGTACAAACCTGTTCCGCGGGCCGCGTATGTTGTTGTTGGCTGGATGGACGCTGAACTGGAGCCGGGGCCAAGGGGCAGGGGAAGCGGTACGGAGTTGGGTCCGGTGCCAGCTCCACTGGTTTTTGTGAATTTCAAAAGCATAGTTTTGATCCGTTGTTGTTGTTGTTGTTATTTTGTATTATTTGATTTTTTATTTATATTTTGTTGTTTTTTGTTTTTGTGTAACTTTTGTTGTTATTTTTTTTTTAGGAGAGCTCCGAGCGGGGAGGTGGCGGTGAGAGCGAGAGAGCACGCTAACGGTACAAGTGTCTCCGGGCAATTGGAAGCCCAATATCGAAATCGAAGTGCCCAACGACTGCGACGCAGGCTGCCTGCGTCAATTTGTTGCTATTTTTAGCAACAACAATTTCTCCTCCTTTTTCGCCTCGCGTTCTCCACATCCACACACTCTTTTTGGTTGGGTTTTGGCCTCCTTGCCGCCTTTGCCTTCTTGTCTTCTTATAGCCCCCCCTCCTTGCTACAGCTCTCTCTCTCTCTCTTGAGCTCCCTCTCTATGTGTGTATTGCTGTCGCACTCTGGAATTCCTTGGGAGCTGATACAGCTCCTGGCTACAGCCTGACGTTTTGTTTTATCAATTATATTACAATTACAGATTCGTCTTGCCTCACTCACACACTCGCGCGATCTCATTCACTCGACTCTGGTCGCTCGTGTTGTTGTCTGTTGTTCGTGTGTGGGTGCCCCTCCACATGTGTGTTCGTGTGGGTGCTGGTGTGTGTTCGCTATGGCCAATTGTTTTTGCTTTTGCGATAGCAGCGCTTGCCTTCAACACATACTGTGTTCCACTGTCACTTGCATTCACCGTTCGATTGGTTAATTGTTTAACAATTAATAAACCGTTGCACTTGAAAAAAAACAAAACTATTTTGCGCACTATTTTCGGACGCTGGTGCTTCTTCTTCTTCTCTTTTGCATTCAACTGGTGCGTAGCGCTGCCACTGTTTGCCAATCGATGTCATCTGGCAACACCCAACAGGTGTTTCCACCGATAGTTGCCTATCGATAACACGCCTTCCCCCACAAATATTGCGCTCGCACGTGTTTCAAGTTATTTATTTATACTGCATTTTTTTTTTGTTAAACTCACAGTCATAGCCAGAGCATGGGAAAATTCCGATCGAAACTGAAGCGCCACGGCAAGGGCAAGACATGGAGTAAGGGTCAGTCGGCCACCTCCAATCCTGACCAGATGAAACATCGCCTAAAGGCCAAGTCGCGCTTCTTTCAGCCAAATTTGAATCTGGGTAAGTGGGTTGCCTCGTGTCCTTTAATCCAAATCCAAAAACAAAGTCTTATGTTACCATTTTAGCGGCTGCCACGCCCGCGGGCCTCACCATGGAGGCGGTGCACAAGCACGAGCAGCGACAGGCCTACAACGCAGAAACCACAACCGTTAACGATGTGGCCGGTAGCCTGAAGGACTTCACCCTGGAGGACGATGATGGCATGTCCGGCATGTCTGGCACGGCGCCCACCGGCACTGGCACCTTCAAGACCTTCAAAACCTTCGCCTCCAACTACAGCAGCTGCAGCAACATGAGCTTCAAGAAGCTACTGACCGGTTTCCGGGCCTCCTCCGATCTCCACAAGGAAATGCTGGCCATCCTCAGCGCCCTCACAGAGATCATACGCGAGAACGGCGGCGGCGAGACCTCCACGGAATACTTTCTGCTGCTGATGGAGCAAATCGAAGCGGCCACCGAGGAGCGCGATATCTTGGCCGGTGTGGCGCTGCTCTCCATGGGCATTAAGTCAGTGCCGGCTCCGGTTTTGAGGAAACGTTTCTCCGAGACGGCCGCCACCTTGCAGACCCTCCTCCAGCGATTCATCGACTCGTCCAATCAATCCGTGATACGATATGTGAGATGACCCCAGAATACTCTAGAGATCTTCTCACTTATTCCTATTTCCAGCTCGTTGGATGCATGTCGGTGCTGCTGCGCGCCCAGGACTATGCCACCTGGACCTACAGCTCCACGTTCCAGTACTTTGACGCCCTGCTGGCCTTCAGCATTCACTCCAAGCCCAAGATACGCAAGGCGGCCCAGCACGCCGTCGTTTCCATTATCCACGGCAGTTGCTTCATGCTGCCGCCCCCGAAAACGGACGAAGCTGACGAGGATGAGCAGCCGCAGGAGCCAAAGGTCAAGCATCATCCGGCCAGCAATCGGGTGACCAAGTTCTGCCTGGCCCAGTTCAAGCCCGAGGTGCTGGCCAACTCGCAGACCACCGTGCTGCACACTCTGGCCCTGCTGAAGGACACCCTGTCGGGCTTCAAGACCGAGGACATACGCAGCGTGTGCGAGCACCTGCTCTCCATTATGACGGCCGCGAATGTACTGGTGCGGACCAACTGCTTCCAGGCACTGCACGCCCTCTTCCTCACCAAGAGTCCCAACCTGAACGCCTCGTTGTGCGCCAAACTCCTGGCCGCCATTCACGAGTATCGTCCGGATCGCAGCGATGTCCGGCAGACACTGGCCTGGATCACCGTCCTCAAGGAGGGGCATCTCCACTTGGCCAACCTGCAGCTGGACTTGTGCATGCAGGCCCTGCCCCGCCTGGTCGATGTCTGCACCACCGATCTGTGGCTCTCGGACCGCACAGAGCTCGTCGTCGGCGTTTCCAATTGCCTCAAGGAGCTGCTGCAGGACTGTGTGGCCCGGGCCACCTCCACGCCCCAGGATGCGCAACGGAACCGCCAGAGTGTGGCCAAAATAATAGCCTCCCTTCACAAGGTTCTGAATGCCCCCTTCGGCGAGGTCTCCAAATACGTAATCCTCATCTTCTCCATTGTGTTTGAGGCTTGTGGCAAGGAGTTTGGGTGAGGCATCCGGTAGCATCTCCTAGCCTTCCTAGGAACTTAATATCTCTATCCCTTTCTAGGAAGGAACTCACTCCATCCCTGCTGACCATCGCCAAGCGCTACGACAGCCAGAGTGCCCACCGCTTGCAGATCGAGCACACCATCATCAGCGCCATCAAGGCCCTGGGACCGGAGCTGGTCCTCACGGCCATTCCACTGGCCGACGTCAAGGGCGCCATGCAGCTGGAGCGCTCCTGGCTACTGCCGCTACTCCGCGAGGGTGCCAACGGCGCCAGCCTGCAGTTCTTCAAGGAGAGGATCGTGCCCCTAGCCATGGACTGCCAGCAGAAGTGGAAGCAGTTCGCCGACTCGAAGAACACCTCCTCGGCGCACATCTACGAGCTGCTCTGCTGCCAGCTGTGGGGTCTGTTTCCCGGCTTCTGCCGCCAGCCCCGCGATCCGGACTATCTGCGTCAGCTGGCGCCCACTCTGGGCGCTGCCCTCGAACGCAATCCCGAGTTCCGGCCCCCGATCTATGACGGCCTGATGGAGCTGCTCGACGACAGCCAGAGCGAGGAGTGCCACCAGGCCATCGGCCAGTACGCCAAGAACTTTCTGCCGCGTCTCTTCAATCTGTACACCCAGAAACCGAGCGGCACCTACGAGGCGGATCAGCGGGCCCGTGTCCTGGACGTCATCCGACTGTACATCCTGCGGGCCCCGGCCGAGGTGCAGGCCCAGCTCTTCGAAACCGCCCAGGGCCAGTTGGCGGACAGTGCTCTGGCCAGCTTCGAGTACGATGCTCTGTTCGACATAAACGCGGCCATCGTGCGGGTCCAGAACTGTCGGACCATTCAGGCCTATGCCGACAAGTTCATGGTGCCCATTCTGAAGAACGAGAAGTCCAAGCTGGTGGCCAAGGATGAGCAGAAGCTGAAGAAGCAGCAAAGGAAGACCTACGAGTAGGTGGAGGTCCTAGGCTCCAAGACTTGTTCTAATCTCTTGCCGACCTTTCAGACTCCTGCGTGAACTGATGACCTCCGAGCAGCCCTCTTGCCAGAAGTTCACCCGCAAGAATGGCATCTCCCTGCAGCAGCTACTCCTCGAGGCCTTCACCACCAGCTGCAGTGTCTGCCAGGCAGCCAGACTATAGTGGGTTCAAGACTTCATCCATTATCCTTCGTCCTTTTAATTATCTGTTGTGTCCTTTGTAGCTGCTTGAAGTCCCTGCTGGAGGGTCGCAGTAATCTCACCTACAACGACCAGTTGGTGATGAAGACCATACCCGAGGCTGTGCTCAACTACAAGGAGTTCTCCACCCGCAAGGAGCAGGTGGCCGAGCAGCTCATCAAGTTCATCGCCCAGCTGTACCAGGATGCCGGCAAGATTAATGATTTCGTGGACATCCTAACGGCGGGCTTCACGGGCGATGAGGCTCTGATCACCAACACCATCTTGGCCTTCCGGGCGGTGCTCCAGCAGCAGGGCCAGCACCTGACAGTGGCCACTCTGGAGTTTGTCCTGCAACAGGTGTCCGTCTTCCTCGTCCAGAAGTCGCGCAACCAGTCCGAGGCAGCGGTGGCTTTTCTCATCACCTTCATCAAAGTGATGCCCATTCCCCTGGTGGCCAATCACCTGGAGACCATAGTGAGTTTGTAGATTCTTAGTCTGGATTCTGGATACTAATGAGGGTTGTCTCTCCTCCAGATGCGCTCCCTGTCGGCCATGACAAAGGACACGAAGCGCTACTGTCGCATCCAGATCGGCTACTTTCTGAAGAAGCTCTGCAAACGTTTCACCACCGAGGAGCTGGCCCGCTTTGTGCCCGGCGATGACGAGGTCACCCACCGGCGGCTGAAGAAGATCAGGAAACAGATGCGCAGGGATACCCGCAAGAAGCAGAACGAGGAGGCCCAGGCCGACAGCTCCGATGAGGAGCTCGTGGGCAGTCTGGAACAAAAGAGCTATACGTGAGTTCTCTCGAGGATCTCTTCAAAGTATATCCTCATAGCCCTTATCTCAACCCTTAGCATTGATGATATTTTGGCCGATTCGGACTCGGATCTGCCCGAGGACATGGATGCCGAGGACGAGAGTGGAGCGGCCAGTGCAGCTGCCGGCAAGAAACGCAACAAGTCCAAGCAAAAGAGCACCTACATACGCGAGGATCCTGATGAAATAGTCGATCTGGCGGATCTCAAATCGATTGGCAATGTCCTGAGTGAGTCCCTAGCTGAAGTATGTAGTATCCCCATCCTATATATATCATCCTTTAGCCAGTGGCTCGGCCCAGTCGGCTGGGGCTACGATCAAGAGCCTGAAGGCCAAGCCACAACTACCGAACGGCGGCTTCAAGACCGCCGACGATGGCCGCCTCATCATCAGCGACAAGGCGCTGCGCGGCCAGGGCGGCGATGCCTCCGACTCCGATTCCGACTCCTCGATGGACGAGGACGACAAGGATGACAAGGATGACAAGGAGCCCAAGGCCAAGCGCGGCATGGAGGAGGACTCCAGCGACGAGGAGGAGGTCCAGAAGCAACAGTCCGTGGCTGGGAAGCGCAAACGCAAGGCCACCGATGCCATGAGCACGAAATCCGGCAAGACGACGGCCAGCAGTCGCTACACATCCGGCGGCAAGGGCATCCACAGGCAGTTGGGTGGCGCAGCTGGAGGTGCTAGCGATGCCATGTCCGTGAAATCGGGCAAGTCCACATCGCGACCAGCGGGCAGTGAGTACGGCAGCAAGAAGGCCAAGGGGGATATGAAGAAACGCGGCCAACTCGACCCGTACGCCTATATTCCGCTCTCCAGGAATAATCTTAACAAGAGGTGGGTTTTCTTCAGAAGATTAGAGGTTAAACTTAAGACTATATCTTGTATTTTTTATGTCCAGGAAACGTTCAATGAACTCGCGGAAATTCAAGAGTGTTCTGCGCGGAGCTGGAGCTGAAATCGGAGGTGGAGGCGGAGGAGGAGCCGGTCGCGTTGGCAAGAAATACAAGTAGTTCTCCCAGACTATGAAGATTATGAAGATATATAGAGGATACTACCGATAAGCAAGCTCCAATAAAAGTGTTAATTACTTTGTTTATCCGCGAGTATATAATATATATACTAATATTATGAAAAACAGTTCTAAAAGTATATAAGTTACAACCAATTTATTATTGTGTGTGTTTTTTCGTAAATGCCAGGATACAGAGTACTCCCTAATCTCTATCACATGTCCTTCTCAAAGTCCTTGACGATGTGCGTCCTTTGCCACTCGCCCTCCGGGTCCAGGCCCGCCATTGTCTCCTCAATGAAGTGCATCTTGTTGTCGCCATCCACCAGGATCACCGTGTGGGTGCGACTCCCATAGCCATGCTCCGGTATGTGCACGTTCAGGGAGCTCAGTCCCTCGCCCCAGTTGGGGGCACGACGCTTCAGCTCCACGTCCGGCCAGAATTTGTGCTTCTTCTTGAGCAACTGCAGCAGGTGGTCGGCGAGAGTCTCCACACTGGCCGTCCCGTGCTCCTGGACAATCGTCTCGAACTCGTCCCGGCCGTGGCGCACCTTCTCGAAGGGCGTATGTGGCAGGCTGTTGCCGAATCCGTAGCAGCCGCCGTTCTCGAAGTCCTCCAGAGTGGGGGGCACGTTGCTCAGCAGCTTGACGCGGGCGGGCAGCGATGAGGCTCTGCGGAGGAGGTGATTAGTTGATTAGTTCTCAAGCAGAGTACCTCAAACGATTTCTAGATCGATTCTCCACCATTCTGCATCAAAATCCCGAGACAAAATATTTTTTACATTTTTTGTCCATTTTTCGTGATGGGATCCCTTGAAAATGGCGTTTTCCCCTATAGGGCCCACAGGGATGGCTATATCTTCCCCAATTCTCATCCGATTCTCAAGCGGAGTACCTCAAACGATTTCTAGATCGATTCTCCACCATTCTGCATCAAAATCCCGAGACAAAATATTTTTTAGATATTTTGTCCATTTTTCGTGATGGGATCCCTTGAAAATAGTGTTTTCCCCTATAGGGCCCACTGGGATGGCTATATCTTCCCCAATTCTTATCCGATCCTTAAGCGGAGTACCTCAAACGATTTCTAGCTCGATTCTCCACCATTCTGCATCAAAATCCCAAGACAAAATATTTTTTACATTTTTTGTCCATTTTTCCTGATGGGATCCCTTGAAAATGGTGTTTTTCCCTATAGGGCCCACAGGGATGGCTATATCTTCCCCAATTCTCATCCGATTCTCAAGCGGAGTACCTTAATCGATTTGTGGATCGGTTCTCCACCATTCTGGATCAAAATCCCGAGACAAAATATTTTTTAGATTTTTTGTCCATTTTTCGTGATGGGATCCCTTGAAAATGGTGTTTTCCCCTATAGGGTCCACTGCGATGGCTATATCTTCCCCAATTCTCATCCGATTCTCAAGCGGAGTACCTCAAACGATTTCTGGATCGATTCTCTACCAATCTTTTCCATTTTTCCTGATGGGATACCTTGAAAATGGCGTTTTCCCCTATAGGGCCCACAGGGAAGGCTATATCTTCCCCAATTCTCATCCGATTCTCAAGCGGAGTACCTTTTTCGATTTGTGGATCGATTGTCCACCATTCTGCATCAAAATCCCGATACAAATCTCGCAAGATACTTCATATATTCCAATCTATAGCCTATTAAGTGAGCTATATGTACATATATTCTTAAAATTGCATCTACTTTAAGCTTTCTTTTATTTTCTTTTCTTTTAAACTTGAAGATTAAAGTTTGTTTACGACAGTCCAATCACTAGCTAAATATATAGCCAAACATTAAAAAAAAACACCATAAATTAATCACCAAGCAGTATGATTGATTTATGGGTTATACCTAGAAGGGTTACACCCACTTCCGCCCACCAACTACTCACCCAATCTCAATGGAGACAAAGTTAAAGGCACTGTACTTGGTGCAATCCTTGAGCAGACTCTGATTGTAGTTGAGGATACTGTGCTGGTCGTCCGGCTGGGCCACGAAATCGGCCACAATCATGCCGCGTCCTAGTAAGAAATGATCATTACTCGAGGGGCAGTGAGTCTGAGTCTTGGTGGTGGTGCTAGGAATAGTGGTATTGGTGGTATCTGAGACTGAGGTGGAGCTGTGGTGGTGGTTCTTGGCATTGCAATTGCTGTTGTTGTGATTATGCGGTTGCAAAATGTTCTTGGGCGCTTCAGAGACACATGTTTTAAAAAAACAAATAAATAAAAACAAAACAATAAAGAGACGAAGAAAGTTTCGAAAAAAAATACAAAAATGTGAAAGTTTTTTAGTTCAAGCCGGTGGGATATTTATGATTTTATGAGTGTGCCTCTGGGTTAGTAAATATTTTATAAAATTAAAAAAAAATATATTAATTGTTTACCAACTGCATCGCGGGGTTTGGGTTCTCCGGTTAGGTTTAGAAGAGCCCCCACCTTGAAGACCCCTCCAGAGTGACCTATGGCCAGCCAGGTGCCACCCTCGCGGCCCGGTTCCAAGTCTATGCCTGGAATAAGGGGTTTTATAGATATATTTTATGGTTGTTTTGTGTTTTTCTATTGAAGGTTGTCCGAAAAATAAATAATATAATTTTTTAGAGAATTTTCTCGAAGAAAAGTTTAGTTTTGAGCAAGTATTTATTAGCTAATACTAAGTTTTTAAGTTTCTTAATATGTTTTAAAGAAAATAAACTCTTCTTTTAGAAGAATATTTTAAATTAGGTTTATAGAAGTTGTTCTTATTTTTTTTAATTTAAAACCAAAAAAAATTATAAAAATTAATTAAACTTTTTTTTCGTAAGTGTAACGTTTCATTTTTATACCCTTGCAGAGGGTATTATAATTTTGTCCAAAAGTGTGCAACGCAGTGAAGGAGACATCTTTGACCCTATAAAGTATATATATTCTTGATCAGGATCACCTCCTGAGTTGATATGAGCATGTCCGTCTGTCCGTCTGTCCGTCTGTCTGTCCGTCTGTCTGTCCGTCTGTCTGTCCGTTTCTACGCGAACTAGTTTCTCAGTTTTGAAGCTATCGTCTTGAAACTTTGCACACACCCTTCTTTCCTTTGCACGCAGTATATAAGTCGGAACGGCCGGGATCGGCCGACTATATCCTATAGCTGCCATATAACTGATTGATCGGAAATGGTATAACTTTGGTGTTTTTAGAGTTAGAGAGTTCAAATTTGACACGAGCGCTATTTTTGGCAAAACATTACGACATGCCAAATTTCATAAGGATCGGCCGACTATATCCTATAGCTGCCATATAACTGAACGATCGGAAATGACCCAACTTTCGTGTTTTTGAAGATAGAAAGCTGAAACTTAATAGAGATTCTATTTTTGGCCAGTTGATCCAACCTACCAAATTTCATTAGGATCGGCCGACTATATCCTATAGCTGCCATATAACTGAACGATCGGAAATGGTACTTGGTAGAAATATCAACTTTCGTATTTTTGAAGATAGAAGTTTGGGACCTTTTTTTAGTTTTTATATTTTAGTTAATTAGTTTTTTTATGATGTAATCATAAGGATCGGCCAACTATATCCGATGTTTGCGATATATATCCGGTTTTAACTGCAAGGGTATATAAACTTCGGCTCCGCCCGAAGTTAGCTTTCTTTTCTTGTTTACTTTCTTTATATATTTGAAATATTTTAAAAAATTTTTTTGGACCCAATTCTGAGAAATTTTAGGATTTTTAAAAATGCTCTTTTCTAAAAAATTGGGAAAAATATTAAAAACCTCTCTATGGACTTCTCTAAAAATCCCTTCAAAAATCCAACCACTTACCACCATAGACATGCTCGGCATTGCTCCACTTGGCTGCCGTCTGGGTGTTCCTGGCAAAGAACTCATCCCGATTGGAGGCTAGGATGAGCTTATAGCCGCCCGCCAGGGGCTGGGAATCGGCACAGAAGAATATCACGCACATCGAACAGATCCGCGAGAAAAGGTAAACAAAAGTACAGGTGGGCAGAATCCGCAGAACCGTAGTGTAGATGTGAAACCAACAAAAGACGTCGAACAACTGGGGGTCTATACTCGGGTGGGGGACAGTATCAATGGCAGGTCTCTTTGTGGCTCGGAGCTGACTTGGCGGGGTTGTGTTGCTCGATTTTATCACTAAATTAAAGCTGATACAGTCTTATCCGTTGTTTGTGTTTCAAACGAAAATCATAAACGCCGCTAATCTGAATACATGGCCGCAGATAAGTATTTGAATAGATATGTTAGCCTGCCCATAGGGTTATGCATCATACTTCTCAATGGGATCTATTTCCGTCCTTACAACATTGTATTATTTTTGTTTTTTTTTTTTAATCCGTTTTTTCTTTTATTTTCTTTTCTTTTCGTTCAATTAACTTTGATCTTGTTTTTGTTTTGCTTTCTTTTACGAGTGTTTTCTTTTTTTTTTCGGCGTTGCCAGCTGAGCGCACCGATAACAACCGATAACGGCAGACACTTGAAAAAACAATTTGTTTGAAATTCAGATAAGATATTAATAATTTGGTGCTAGAGTTTAAAATGTTTGGGGATGTATTTAAAAAAAATACAAGAAATTTAAATAAAAAAAACTTAAAAGATAATTTTTATATAGAATCTCAGATTAAAAAACCTATTATTTTAAGCTCTAGAAACAAAATACTTTATTTCTTAATTATACACTTAAATATAATTTATTAAAAGATTAAAACACAAATATATTCAAGACATTTATTTATAAAAATACATTTTTTACAAATTAAATTAAATAATACAGATTAACATTTTAATTACTAAATATTTTTAAATAAAGCGCCATAATCACAGTTTCCTTTTTGCCATTCACACACGTTATTTCACTAGCAAGGTCACACTGCACCGCCAAACAGCTGTGCAAAAGCTGAGGGAACACAAAAAAAAACACAACCAAAACGAGCGAGAAATGAAAAGCGAAAGAACAACAATCCGAAAAGTTTATAGTATTATTAATCGAAACGAAGCGGCGTGCGCACACTGTGGCTGGCTGCGAAGCGCGTCGGTTGTTTTATTTCCACCACCGGAATATTTATCGCCGATAAAAAACAATTAAAAAACATAGAAATATAGAGAGAGAAATAATAATAATAACAACAACGATAATAACAAAACAGTCATAGCCCAAACAACAACAAAATGATAGATTGGCGAGTGCACTTGAATAAAAAACTCAAATAAGAAAATGTTACCGAGAAGGTGCAAAAAATAAATGCAAAGAAGAACAGCGCCGCACACACACCTGCAGATACCTGAATTCCAAATTTCAAGACGATTTAAATACGAACAAAAATATACAAAAAAAATAAAAAAAAATATATATAAAAAGTGAGGGAAAGAAAGTAAAGCTCAAGTGAAAATCAGGCCAAACCGATTGTTATTTTTTTTTTGTTGATTTTTTATTTTGGTTTTCTGATTTTTTTTATTTATTTTGTTCTGTGTCTTTTGTTTTTTGCGGCTTGCTTTATTTTTTATTTTAATTTAAAGAATAACCAATGAAACGCGGTTCAAATACCAACAAAATATAAGAGTATTTTTTTATTTTTTAATTAAAATGGAATTCCTGGAGAACTTTTTCGAAAGCCTGCAAAGTCTATTGTGTAAGTAGTATAATTAAAGAAATCCTTAATAATTTTAATTATTTATTTTTATTTTATTTATTACCCTTTAGCATCGTACATCGATCTGGATTATTCACTATGGCTTTATCGTTTCTTGACCCCGCTGATTGTCACCTTTCTTTTGCCGCTGGTGTTCGTGGCCCTCATCTACATTTCCTTTTTGGTTCTCTTCATGTACAAGCTGCACAGGTAAGCGGAAATGGCAAAAAAAAAAAATAATAAAGAAAAAAAAAAACACAACAGAAACAGTAACATAAGCTGGCGGCAGAATGGAAATGCTTCCAGAGAATACAAGAATGTATGGGAAGTAATTACACACTCTCCCACTCTCTCTCCGGCTGACAATACCTCCTCCTCTTCCTCCTACTCATACTCATACTCATACTCCTCTTGTCTCAAGTGCTTCTGGCCTGATCGCGCTTTTTGTTGTTGTTGTTATTGTTCTTTTCTTTGGCCCCTTCTTCGTTTCTCTTTGTGGGAGACCGCCTTTTGTCTCCCTCTGGCTTACACATGTAATTAAAACAAAAAGAGTGGAGTCCCTCTCTTCTAGAAACTTTAAAACTAGAGTTGCCAGCTAGATAAAATAGCCAAAAATCAAGGCTAGAGTAACAACTCTATTGCACTTTTGGCCAGAACTTGAGCCGTAATGGCTTTTGAGCAAGTGATCGGTATGAGCCAACTCTAGTTCTACTGACAAGTGGTCTACCTTGCCCGGCCTTACCTTTGATTTGTGTCAGTGCTGGTGGTGTGCTTTTATTTATTTTCCATTTCTAACTCAACTCTCTAATGCCCAACCGGTTAGCCATGCTAATTAACTGAAAAGCTCTACTAGTCTCTGGCCCTAATGGCTTTAACTAAATTGCGACTAACGATGCCTGCAGTTTACAGATAATTACACATGAACAAATTTTTAGTGACTTTTGATTTTTTTTATTGAGAATATTATATGGAATATTTTCTTCCTTTAAATCACCCCCTAATTTTTCTCAGTGCATTTGTTATCTATTTTTTTTTTTAACAAAATAAAGCGCTGCTAAACAGTTCGATAAGCGAATGACTCCCCATAGACCCACAGACCGAAAAACACGCCATTGAACAATTTCTTCCCCTTCCCCAACATTGATATTAAATGATATATATATAGTATATCTGATAGGAATGAGGGGTTTGGGATTACTAATGCCTATCAGTTCATGGCCATTGCCGGTTTGTCAGACCAGACCAGACCTAATCACGGGAATTATAAATCCATAAAAGATGATATACCCACGAAGTGCAATTATCAAGAAACTACCGCATTTATTTTTTAAATTTCTGACATAAGAACTCGGTTTATGGCCATAAAGGCTTTAAAAAAAAATTATTAAAAATAATTACAAAAGATAAATGACCTATTGGCCTTGAAGATTGAAAGATTCTTAATTCCAAAATGCAAAATTCAAAAAGCAAACTGTTGAAGTTGAAAAGGTCAATCCAGGAGTCAGGTTGACTTGGCTTTCTAATTAATTACTTAAGAATTTTAGAAAAAACACAGGGAGGCGCCCACTGATAATTGAGTTTAAATTTAGTTGGCTGCCTTCACCGATCGCAGGTGTTATCAGCATATCAGCAGCATTCGTGTCGTGTCTTTCCACATTGTGCATATCAAAGAACTTATAAATCAATACATGTACATATATATTATGTACATATATACTAATACATGGAGGATCGGCTCACCTTGGCGCTAAAAAACTGCGTTTAGTGGCGGCCTGATAACAGAGTTCATTCACAAGTCTTCTGGCCACTTGGCGACCAAAACAAACGACTCGGTCTCTACAAGCCAACAGCATGGAGCACTGACAGTGATCAGGTTTTTTCAAGTTTTTATGAAATCTTTTGATTTTTGATTTATTTTAGTTTATTTTTTATTTTGGAAACTAAATTTTAAATAAAAAGAAAAGCCACAAACATCTTAGAGGAGCTTCGAATTAAAGGAATATTACAGGAATAGATCTCAAAAAGAATATACCCTTTCAAAGGGTTCTTAGGAATATTATAGAAATCTTGAAAGTATGTCTTAAACTCTATAAAAGTTAGATCTATACAAGAGGTATCAAGCAAAGAGCTTAGTAGTTCTTAAGTTATAAAATATCTATTTAAAAGATATACAAATAACTCTAACTACTATCTACTAAATCTACTCTATACTCTATAAGGCTGTTCTCTTTTTGGGGTTAAGATATAATTTCGAAAGGGTATACATCTTTACACTATACTTTAAAAGGTAAACAATTTGGAGAACTATGCAACTAAAAGTACCTCTATTTATAAGATAATATCTATATCTATATCAAATACAAAAAAAACTGTTGACGAGTTTAAAAGCCGGTGACGAACCCTCATGCCACGTCCATAACATCTGATATCCACTTTGGTGACGAAAAAATGCAATATGTAAGGGAATTACTTACAATAAAGCTTCTGCAAGAAATCGGAATGGTTTAAGAACTAAACCACACGTACTTAGGAGTGGAGAATGTGATTAAAAATATAAAATAATATTTTATCTGGTGGCTTTTATGACAAAATTTATTGAATTTTATACAATTTTCCCCCAAACGACAAATACCATTACAAACACCATTAATTTGGTATATCACTTATTCAGATCATAAAGCATGCGGTTCGTCACCTCCTAGACTGCCGTCCACAGTGATAAAAGGCTATAGCCTACTGTCTACTCTATTTTATAATCTATAAGGTACTCGCTTTGGGGATTTATTAGTAACTCTACTTTTAAGACATTATTATAAAGTAATATAATATAAAGTATAATTTATAATAATACTTCATAAGCTACAAATGTGGCTACATTTTTAAGATACTATAATATCTTCCTCAAAGTACTTCCACATTTAAAGAAATCTTATTTAAAGAATACTTTATAGATAGATCTTTTTTATAAAGATATATCAGAGTTCCATTAAAAAATTGTACTAAAAAATGATAAATATTTAAAGCCAATATCCCATGACTATATAATCTAGATTATTAAAACCTATATCACTATATCTTTCAGACAAGTGATCATGAGAGCCGTACAAACGGATCGGAACTTCTGGCGGGTGGGACGAAAGATCGTGGCCGCCATTTGGGACGCCCATGCCCGGATCTATCACGGCTACGATGTCATCGGCCTGGAGAACATACCCCAGGAGGGCCCGGCGCTGATCGTCTACTACCACGGAGCCATACCCATCGATATGTACTACCTGAACTCCCGGATGCTGTTGCAGCGCGAACGCCTGATCTACACGATTGGTGATCGCTTTCTGTTCAAGCTCCCGGGATGGGGAACCATTTCCGAGGCCTTCCACGTCAGTCCCGGCACTGTCCAGTCCTGTGTCAGCATCCTGAAGGACGGCAACCTCCTGGCCATCTCACCGGGCGGCGTCTACGAGGCCCAGTTCGGCGATCACTACTACGAGCTGTTGTGGCGAAATCGTGTGGGTTTCGCCAAGGTGGCCCTCGAGGCCAAGGCCCCCATCATTCCCTGTTTCACGCAAAATCTGCGCGAGGGCTTCCGCCAGGTCGGCATCTTCCGGACCTTCTTCATGCGACTGTACAACAAGGTGCGCATCCCAGTGTATCCCATCTATGGGGGATTCCCGGTCAAATTTCGGACCTATTTGGGCAAACCCATTGAGTACGATGAGAATCTAACGCCGCAGGATCTGCAGGTTAAGGTGAGCATCTTTGAACTTCTTGGTCCTTAAAGGTCCTTAAATTTAACATTTATTTTAATTCGAAATTCTATAGAGTTCTTGGCTATTATTTGGATATAACTATAATATTTTTAACTTTAGTTTTGTTTATTAAAAAAGCAGTTCTATAGAGTCTCTCCCCTATTCCTATCTTTTACAACCACGTTATGCAATCCAGCTCTATAAAACCCATCTCATAATGATTAAAAACCTCTTAAAATTATTGTATAATTGTGTACTTAAGCTTGTACTTTTATTATCAACAGGTTGCCACCGCCATTGAAGAGCTTATCAATCAACATCAGCGCTTACCTGGTAGCATTCTGATGGCACTTTTGGATCGACTGCCCTCCTTCAGGCGATCTTCAAAAAAGAAAGATGAATAGAAAGCTCTAGAGGAGGATCAGTAGCTTAACTCCCACGTTAATCCCATTTCCGTATATCGTATATAGAGAGATTAACAGATTGACTTTGGTTCTTGGCCATATTAAGACTTTGTTCCACATGTACTTCAACTCTTGTATAAGGCAGCGCCATATACACTTTACATAGATGTATATAACCCACTGTATATCTCGTTAGATCCTTAGATATCTAATCTATATCTAATTTTTTTTGTAAATGTTTCAAATGTCTACCAAGCTGTTTACTTATTTTTTTTGTTAAAATTTATCCAGAATTGAAAAACTCAACCCACCAGATAGAAACTCTCTTACTTTTTTTTTTAACAGAAACTTAAGTCAAAGACCGAACAAAGATAATTTTCTTTTTATTTTTTTGTGTTTTTAAACACTTTAAAGTTTTATTTCCTTTTTTATTTAGTATAATTTGTAAACGAATTAAACAATTATCTTAATAAGATGACAATTTTTGTACTTTTTATGCAAAGCAGTAAAAAAAAACCATATATCTCAGCGGTGTGAGTGTGTGAGTGTCTGTGAGTGTGTGTCTGTGTGTGTTTGGTATATTTAAGGATATAGTAGTTAAGGAAATCTTGTATAAAATATAGAAGTAATATCGGAATATTCCATGTTTGTGAGATGTTGTTTCCCCAAACAAAATAAGTGACCCAGAGACAGTTTACAAGAGTTCCCAATGTGAAAAAAATATTAAAAATAAATCAAATAAAATGTTAAAACAGAAATGTTTAAAGAAAATCGTAAGAAAAAGTTTAATTTTGGGTATTTGGGTTTTTGTATTTAAATTTTATTAAATATTTGTATAATATTTAAAAATTTGTTCGTAATTCAAAAAAATAAAAAAAATTTATATTGAAAATTTAAAAAAATTATTTTAAAAACTTACCATCACTGGTACTTTTAAAGGCTTATGTATTACATTCTTCCAGTCTTACATTCTTCCAGTCTTACATTCTTCTTCCATCTATATATGCATGTACATGTACTGTAAAAGTTAACGGTTCTTCAGGCTGAGGACGCTTCAGGCTTAGGATGCTGCCCACACACAGACACCATTCCGGTCTCGCAAAATGGAGTATAAACCTTTAATTTAGCTTAATTTCATGATTTTTAGTTGAAAACACTATTTAAATAGGTAAATATATTCACTTAAGATATAAGGATTACTTTTCTTAGAGGATTTTCTTAACGGATTTTCCACACACACACACGCGCGCGTTGAACCGGTAACCTGCACTTGACTTTCTAATTCAAAGCATTTACGTATTTTTGAACAATTTTAAAAGAATATTTGCTAGTTGTTGTTATAAAGAACACTTTTAACCAAAAAACTTAGTTTTAAACTCTACAAATTAAGCACAAAAATGAAAAATATAGAAGACACGTCCAAGGATTTGATCGCCTGCGAAGCTGTAACTGTCAAAGTTGCCACCAAGTTTTCCAAAACAGGTGTTGTTGAACACTGTAAATGGGTTGGGCGCCAAAAGGATCATTTTTGAATTTTTAACATAAAAAAGTCCAAAATAAAAGAAAAACACAATTCCTTTTTGAATTTCTATATATATTTTGTTGTTATAATTTTAAAATTCTTCTATTTAACGCTAAATGACTGGCTTTTTCTTAACTTTTTTTTTCACTCATTTTCAAGTTTTGTACAGCAACTGGAACTGGAATATCCACTAAAGATAATACACAATTTATAGTAAACTACTTGTAGGATAGTTAAATCTTCCTTATTTCTTTTGGCAAATTATTATATATTTAAACATTTAAGATTTAAAGCAACTTTGAAAGTAATAGACTCTACATTTAAGCGGTTTTCTATTGCATAACTTAGCATAAAATCTTCAATTAAAAATTAGCATTATTGGTAATTGGTTAAAGAAATCTTAAAAACAATATAAGCTATAATTTGCAGTTTAAATTATAAGATCAATATCGTTTCAATTGTCATTTGTTAGACCAATTTTTACTGAAGACTTTGGTTTTTTTTGTTTAAGAAACTATCCTATTCACAATATAGATCGTTATTTTTCGTTTTTTTTAGGAATCCAGGCGCAGGGATGTTCGACGAAGAACTCACAGCAGATGATTGATCCAAAGGGAGGATGTGGGAATGCCGGTACACGGACTCAGAAATGCTCGGCCATCAGTAGCACCACAGTGGCGGTCCAGCCGGTGAAGACATTACAGCCCTTGCCCTCGCCAGTGGTGTCGTCGTACTGCTCCCACAGATAGCCGCTCTTCTTGTACTGCTTGAAGATATTCCTCACCAGATTGTCCCGCAGCTCGGTGTATATCTCCCGGGCGAGGGCGGCATTCGGGCCCTCGATGTTGCCATAGTGATGCAGTGCCTTGGCCGCCAAATAGTTGATGTTTATCCAGATGGGGCCGCGCCAATAGGGCGGATCGTGTTCCGTATTCCGTTTCATGTACAACGGCGACTTCTTCGACAGCGACCGCAGGCCAAAGTTAGTCCACAGCTGCTCCGGATCGCGCAAATCGTGCAGCATCTTGGTGAGATGGGGCGAGTCGTGGTCCAGTTGCTCGAGCAGCAGCGGAAACAGGTTCACATAGCCAAAGGTAGTGTCCACAAACTGATAGCTAGGCTCCTCGCCCGTCACCCGAACCATTTCCGGTTGCTGGTAGTTGTGATGCTGCTGGTGCTTCGGTGTCAGCGCCGGCGGACGCTTCAGCTTCACCTGGTCCGTGTGCAGGCCCCAGTCGGCGTACTGATCGCTGTACGGCGCCAAATGAAGCCGGTTGAGCTGCTCGTTGTCGGTAAGGAAGGAGGCGGTCTCGTAGTACTTGGCATCATCCTTGCCCAGGATGCTGGACAGCTCGGCCATCACACTGGCGGCCAAGGCGATCCAACAGCGCAGATCCACGTGACGTTCCCGGTCCGTGGGATGTGAGGCTCTCGGATAATCGTCCAATCCTGACGATAAGCTCTTAGGATTCAGTTCCCGCTGTGTCGTGGCGTTACGGCCGCGCCACAAATAAGTTCCCAGAACTTCGCCTACAAATAGAAAGAGAGGTAAAGCATGATTCCGAAAGAGATGGCACTAAAACAATCGCATACCTCGTTGCGTGGTATTGTACCAGTTGAACCAGGCCTGAACCCGGGGATAGAGACGTTCCAGGATGGCCAGGCGACCCTTTTGGGACAGCTCCGCCCGGTGGCTGGTGAGGAGCTTCCTGAGCGTAAGGAAGAACGTTGGCGGATTGGCGTTACTGTTCCGTTGGGTGACGAACTCCTCTGGCACTTTGGCCAAGGCCTCGACGCCCAGGATCTGCTCGCGCGGTATCCATCCTTCGACGTTGAGCAGATCGAACCAATGGCAAATGATGTCCAGCTCGATGTCCACGTCCCAGGCGCTGATCAGCAGGCCGTGGAAGCCCTCGTCCCACAGAAAGCCACGTGGAAAGAAGCTGCGCGATGGCACGGCCGTGTAGAGGGGCGCCTTCCAGTAGGGCACAGGGTTCTTGGTGTGAACCGACTGCACACGACTGGAGCCATAGAAGTAGCCGATGCCGCCCAGCATGTTGCTCAGAGCGTTCCGGGCGAATCGTACTTCCTCCGGCGAGTGACCCTTCTTCTTCAGCTGGAAACGCTCCTCGAAACGACGATCGAATTCCGTGATCTTGGCCTGCAACGATTCCTGGTACGCCCGGCCAGTCGGCGGCTTGGGAATGGACTCGCCCAGCGAGAATCCCGACGTGGACTGATAGGTAATGTCCAAGGTAAAGTCCACCTCCGCTGTTATCTGGATGGCGATAAAGTTCGGCTCCGGATTCGACGTGGGCAGGCCATTTTGGGAGACTATTTCGCCCGGCAGGCCGATGAACCGGTTGCCCCGCTTGTCGGCGAAGGCGCGGAAGTGCGAGAAGAGTGTGTCCTTCAGCTTGCTGAGCGACGGAGCCACCGTGCTCAGATAGGATTTGTGCAGGATCTTACCCTTAACGGCATGGAATCGCACCTGGAACTCACCCAGGCCCTGGGTCTCGCCATAAACACCCGGCTCCGGGCTCTTGTCATCCGACACGTACTTGATGTGACCCAGCGTGCGTTCGTCCAGTGCCACGTACCAAATTAGGGAAATGCTCTTGTCCCAGGCCCGTGTGGTGTTCCTCACAGATATCCGGGCAGTCCAGTCGCCGCCAAACTGCTTGCCCTCCGGGTATTTGACGAACGAGGTTTTTAGTTCGAAGGGGAGATCCTGGATCTCCTGGACACCGAAACTCCGACCATCGTGATGCGTCCAGCCGTAGGAATCCAGATTGTCGCCCTGCTCGCACCAATGACGGATGCCATGGCCCCCGGGTCCCAGATTACTGGGCGTGTACCACATCAGACCCATCACCAGCGAGTGAGGATCTCTCGTTTTCAGGCCGAAGTATGTGAGAGGCCGGTAGGAGCCCCAGTAGCGATCCGGTTGCTCCAGACCAGCGCCAATCACCATCTTCTGGTGGTCGAACGGCGTATTGACTCGCGTCTCCAGGTAGCCCAGATAGCCAAAGTACGAGGCTATCACCAGGCAAACGCAGCCAATCACCGTCTTCCATTTGTCGAGCATTAGATTGGGGGACAAGCTGAAACGAGTGCCCTTTTTCTGTTTGGAGTTGTGGGATGCTGCTGCCGCTGCAGCTGCCGCCGCCGCTGCTGCTGCTGATGCCGTCGACGTGGACGGTGCGGAGCCGGAGGAGCTACCCGCCCGCGAGGATCCTCCGCCAGCATTACGGGCCATTTTCCGGGTTCTGAGCGCTATTTTATTGCAGTTTTTAGTCAATTTTCAGCGGTTGTTTTTTTTCGCATCGCTCCCCCGATGGTTGCCAGATGGTTGAAAGGGCCACGAATCGATAACGAAAAAGACGATAAGAAGCTCCGAAAAAGAGCGCCAAATTCAAAAAAATTCGCCAATTCAAATGGTTTCTATCTCTTTTAAATATATAATTTATAGTATATATTAGACAGAAATCCTTTAAAAAAAACTTTACAAAATCTACACATTCCAAAAAGCTATTTATAATTTAAATGACTAACAAAGGATACCAGGGCAGTTTCCTTTTGCGACTATCGATGGATCGTCGAACCAATATTCTTCGGGAAACGAGAACCAGAAATTACTTTTGGTATCATCATTGCAGTGATCTGAATTGACATCAGCTTCATCCTTGACATTGAAGCCCGAGGAGACTGTCTGGAAACTGGTACAGCTCATGGCAGGACTAGTGGGCGGGGGTATGGTACCATGTAGCTGGAGCAGACAAGTACCTCCGATTAGGGGAGTTTTCAGGATCTGTTTGGCCACCGACTGATAGACGGTCTCCCGGATATCGTTCGACGATGAGGTGGCCTTAATACTGGTTATATAACTAACAGGATCGGGATCCAATTGGACTTTTGACAATTGCCGGTTCGTTTTGGTTGCCTTCGTTAAAGTTCGCTTTACTTGCGGATTTGTTTTCGGTTTTGGCTTTGGTTTCGGCTTTTGTTTTGGCTTTGAATCCGGGTTCGAATCCGTTTTCGGTATTGGATTCACCTCCCGATTTCGCATTAATTTCGTGGTAGGGGGCCTTTTGATGCTCTTGGGAGTTCTAGTTGCTGCAGACGTCAAGGGCGAGGTAATACGGCCATTCACGACTTCGTTACTTTCCTTGGCAAAAATCCCCGCTAGATATTTGTACATTTTTTTGAGCTTGAGTCACTGAAAATTTCTATAACAAATTTGACTGGTTTAAAACGTTTAGATTTTTCTACTTAAATGTGGTTCATTGCTTGATCTTTGAATATGTCTTTCAAAGCCTATTTTATAATTTAAAATTCAAATTTTAAACTTGGCGCCAATCTAACGCAAGCACTGTGAACGACCAGAGGAGCCAGACCTATTGCTAATATCTGCAACATTTGACCACACTTTCTTCAGCACACATGTGCATTTCAATATTTTGATTCGTTTATTTACCTTTTTTTGTGGTCGAATAACACAAAAAACCGAAGGATAATGAACGTCAGTGAGGACTTCAAGCCAGTGCCCACGCGGGCACAACTGGCGCTGCAGAAGAAGGAGACCAACAGCGAATTCAAAGCCCTGGTGTTTCACGAGCCGCAATCACAGCCAAAACACACAAAAGATGCCAAGAATAAGGATCCAGACAACGAAAATCCATTGAAGGGCAAGGATAACCAGTCAAAGGATATCAATCCGGAGTTTGACATCAAGAAGGCTCGCCACGAGGTCCTGAACTTCGCCAGGAACAATCAGCGTGTAATCAAGAACAAACGGAAAATGGAAATATTTCAGCTGGAGAAGCTGGGAGCCAAGCCGCTGAAGAAAGCGTCGAAAAACTACAAGGAGCTGAAGGATGAGCGCCAGCGACTGAAGAACGTTCGCGAGGAGCGAAAGAAGTTCCACCAATTGGGCAAAAATCAAACTGGAGCGGCGAGCGTCAAGTGCCGCACCAATTTACAAAAGGACCGCAACCAGAAGAAGAGGGCGCCGGTTTCCAATATTGATCAGCACTACGGCAAGGCGCAGCCCAAGTTCAAAAAGCGAAAATAGTTATACGATTTTTGTTTTAATTTATGTTAAAGATAATATAGTTAAATATACTAAAGAGAGTTGCCATCGTTTTTCAATTCGTGGCCCTCTGGCAGCACTATCGCCTGGCCTGCAACATCTGGTCTTGCCCATCACTGGCACCAATCAGCTTTGTTGATACGATTACGTGAATTATTTTTGCGAATTAAATTCCGTCAAATACTCAAAATCAAGCAAAAATGTTCTCTCCATCGCGTGCCCTTCGCCCGGCCTTGAGCCGCTGCTACACCCAGATTAAAGGCGGACCCGTTTCCGGAGGAAGCAGCAGTTCAAAAGCCCCAAAAGCTGGATCGCAGTCTTCCTCAGGATCCTCCGGCCGTGCTCCCGTCACGGGACTCACCAGCAACTGCGTGAAGCCCTCCACCGGACCCGTGGGACCTGGTGCCTCAACTACTGGGGACTACAAAGTCCCGGAATACTACAGTTTCAACCGTTTTAGCTATGCAGAGGCGGAGGTGGAAATGGCCAAGTACCGCTGCCCACAGCCATCGGCACTCAGGAAGTAGACCACTGATTATCAACCAATTGTAGTGAATGTAAAATAAACCAAATGCGAAGCTTGTGAATAAACATAAAATAAATATTTTACTTATTGCAAATAGCTATGTGTTGGAAAGCGCTAAAAGGTCTGACAAGGTGGTAACCTTTTATTAACAGGTCTGCAATTTAAAAAAAAAAATCTGCCAACACTGATTTCATTCCCCGATAGGTTAATCAACACTGATGCTCTCTTCGGTTTACTTACACTCTCCCCACTTTTGCTCTCCCAGTGTTCCAGTTTTCGCCCAAGTCCGAGCGCGGGAATCATTAAATAAATAGTTAATACTATTAAGTGCCCTGAAAAAGCATATATTTTTTAAATTAAATAGTAAAATATTGCTACAAAAGCCCGGGGCGGCCGAAAAAGCAAGCAATAACAATAGAAAATCAGCAGCAACAGCAGCAGGAACAGCACAACATTAACAGCAGCAACTGGCGTGTGTGTGTGTGGTACAGTTGGGTAGAAAAACATCGTCGCTAGTTGGCGGTGTTGCCACCTCGGCTCTTTCGATTATTGCCACCACTCTTGCGCTGCGCCGCAGCAGTTGTTGTGCATCTTGGCGAGTTTTAACGAGCAGTTCTGTTTTCGTGCTGTTTTTAAAACAAAAAGCTACAAATAATTAAATCAGTTAGCAATTATCGCTTAGCGAAAGTCGATCGATCGAGAGGCAGAGAGCGATTTGCCGCGAGAGAAAAATACCATTTAGCAATAATAATTGTGAGAGCCAGAGAGGGAGAGCGCATTGTGAAAGTGGCAAGCGAAAGGTGCTGGCAAAAGTAAAAACAAACTCCCGATAAAATGCAAAGCGATTTGCAAAGGTAAGAATGATCAATTTTGTAAAATTTAGAAGTGATTTCGGTGCTAATGCGGGCCAATTTGTTGCTCATTTATATGTATGTGTATATATGTGCTCGGCTGGCGCGCGAAAAAGTGACGAAAATAGGCGCCAGAGTTGCCAGAGCCGTCGTTTGTTCTTACACGCACGCATACACATGCATTAATACAGTAGTCCCTGCATAGTGCAGTTCAGGCAAATTGGTTTTTAAATAATACAAATATTAGTTATCTGTTTATTGAATTTTGCGAGTGCATTAAGTTGTTTCAAAATGCCTACGGCAGAGTGTGGCAAGTATGTGTGTTGTGTGGCATCAACGGCCTTTACATAATACCGCCATGTGTGGCCTGACTGTGCATCACATGCATGTGTAGGCACGGTTCACTGTTTTGTTTTAATAAAATCAGATTTTGTTGCATTTAAGGCACAAATGCAAATAGAAGCCATTTAAAACCGATCCCTAGCAGATTCCCCTATTAGGCAGCGACCACTGTATCCCATATACTACTGTATGTGTGTTTATTTCAAATCGCAATAATAACGAGCGTATTGTTTTGTGTGCTTGCTGCTCACATCTCTCGTCCACAGCTATCCATGAAAGATGCGAGCTGGAAAAAAACAGGCAGCTGATAGCGGAAAGACACGTCCTTGCATTGTCTACGTGAGGAATATACGGGAGGAGCAGCGGCCGGGACCCGGGCGGCCGAGGAAGGCGACCCAACAACAGCAGCAGCAGCGATTGCAGCAGCAGTTGAAACAGGAACAGGAACAGGAACAGTATCTACGGGAGACACGCGGACGCCGTGCCGGCGGAGGTGTATCAGCAACGGCACCCATTCACGAAAGGCAGCCACCGGGCATTGCCCTGCGGACACGGCAAGTTGCTACGCCGCCGGTTAAAAGACAGCATCAGATCGTTTCGCCGCCATCGCCGCAAAGGAAGGCCAAAGACGCGATTATGGCTAAGCGACGCAACACCAATCTGTTGCTGGGGAATCCCATCCAGAAGGTTGGCGGTCTGAGTAGTCGACGCATCACCACACACACCGAGTCGACGCCGTCGCGGGCGCAGACACCCAAGATGTTCAAGAGCAAACACCAGCCGGTGGCGATGAGTCCGCCGCCGACTATAGCGGCCAGTCGGTCGCGGCGATCGATTAAACCGAATCCGAAGTACACCAGCGAGGACATGGTCACGCCAAAGTATCTGGCTGCGTTGGCGAGTGATTCGGGCAGTAGTCCGTCGTCGGTGGGACGTCCCAGGTCGAAGCCGATGTATCGCAACTCCAACGACGACATCAACGATCTGCTCGATCTCGACGAGGACGATGACGACGAGCTGGCGGATGCCGCCTTCAATCCCCAGCTGCACAAGTCGGACGACGACGATGACGACGATCTGAGCGAGGGCGAGTTCGAGGAGGAGCTGCGCCGCCCCAAGCTGCCGCCGGTGAAGCGTGGACGTGGACGTCCGCCGAAGGCCAGTACATTGGCCAACACGCCCGGCTCGTCGGTGGGGAACACCTCGGTGGCATCCAAGATGGGCGCTTCAGCCGGACGCCCGACACCCAGCAGCCTGCAACAGCTGCGTCGCAACATGGCCGTGAACATAGCTCGAAACAATGCCAGCTTAACGGAGGGATCCCAGATAAGCGCCGCCAAGCGCAAGCTGGAGATCAACGATAACGATAGTCCGGTGGCGCGCAAACGCATGGTCCTCTCCTCCGTGGGCGGCAGTGGTCAGCGCAGCATGCCCGTCGCCAATGGGGCCACCAAAATGGGCGGACACGGCGGCACAACGACTACTCAGCGCTCCAAGATGGGCCAACTGCGAATGGTGCCGCAGAGTTCGTCGGTGACGTTCAAAGTTAACACCGGCAGCGGTAATCGCTCTGTACCGGGCAACTCACGGTCCGCGGGAGGAGCATCGTCCGGTGCCAGCGATTCGAAGCACAACAAGTCGGATGATGGAGACGATGTGCCCACGTTCACCATTGTGAACATAGACGACATTATCAATCAGGACGATGTTTTGATCAGCAGAGCCAATATCAATGCCGCCGCCGCAGCATCAGCAGTCGCACCCGCGGGCGGCACAGCCGGCAAGAAGCTTCCTGTGGGCCGGCCCCGCACCAGGGGCATCCCGCCCAACAGCAACAACGCTGTCGAGAAGAAGGCGCCACCACCGTCGTCGTCGTCGTCGTCGGAGAAGTTGAGCCCCACGTCGGTAAATAGTCTGAATCCACCCAAGCGCATCAAGATTCTCGCCAGCAATTCGAGCAGCAACACCGCCAACAAATCCCATTCGGGCTACAATCAAAACAAGAATATTCTAACGAAGCCCCAGCCACGGATTCTCAACACGGAAATGGGCAAGAAGACGCAGACCATGAAGCCCCTGATGAACATGGGCAAGGAGCTATGTCCCACGGACATCGACACCGAGGAGGATGAACTGGAGCCCGACTTGGATCTCGACGATGATGAGCCGCCGGCCACGATAGTGACTCGCAAGAATGTCAAATCGATCACCTTAACATCAACACCGCACAGTGCATCGTCCGGCAAGTGGAACAGCAGCAGCACCACCAGCACTAGCAACAACAACAACAACAATAGCAACAATCGCCGGAATATCCTGTCGACGGCGTCAGCATCGTCGGTGAATGCTCGCACGGACCGGAAAGTGTCGAAGCTAATGGGTGATTCCGGTTCGGGATCGGGTTCTGGTGAGCTGACGCTCTTCAAGAAGCCCGGGATCAGTCCCCAGCGTCGCAGCAAGGAGAATCATCAGCAGAAGGACGACCTGAAGGATTTGGATGCGGATGCGGGTGGATCGGAAACGCATAAAAGCATCACCAACACCATCAGCAGCGGCAGCGGCAGCACCAGCAGTAGCCATCCCAAATACTTTCCGCCAGAGACGACCACCTTTTGCGAGGAGGACGGGCGTGTCATTAAGAAGATCACCTGCTATGAGACGTGGCACGTGATCAGCACCGCCCGGGACTCGCCGGCGAAGACGACGCGGCAGCAGCGCACCTGCCTGGAGCTGGCGCTCGTTAAGCTGGCCAATGTCGCTAACCGGATCAAGGTGCCGTCCAGCAAATGGACCAGCAAGGTCACCCTCTACAAGGTGTCACCATCGTTAATGCAGCGCCAGACAATGACCATATTCACCGGCGATCTGAAGGTGTACAACATACCCGAGGAGGACCGGCACAAGTACCAGCCGTCGTGCGTCCTGTTCCGGCGTGCGGCGGTGGACAGGGCCAAGTGCCGGGTGCCCTACGATCGAGCCATTATCTTCAAGAACAAATGTTTCTATGCGAATATCGATGGGAAGCACGTGAACCTATTGGGCGCCCCGGAATCGGTCAACACCCTCAAGGATGTGGAGATCCTGCTGGACATTGTCGATCATCTGACACTCGACAGCGAACTGGTCGAGATGGTAAACACCACCAAGTGAACCTGAACCGCCAAGGATGACAACTAGGACATGTATCACATTGTAAAAAAAAAACACCCGCACATACACACACACACACACACACAAAAACAAAAAAAAATGATCAGAAAAAAAATCATACACACACATACATACATACAACACAAACAAGAAGGACATTTTTATGATTTGTTTTATGCAATAGAAGCCGATAATACTATAAAGAAAAAACTATTTTTTTTTTTGATTAATCCATTAACTTAGTTTTAATCGTTAGTCTAGCGTAATTATCTTAATATCATAAAAACTGTAAACGGACGTACATACATACAGAGACAGGACATGTATCAATGTACCATATATATAATATATATATATATACACACACACACCAACCAACACAACAAAAATCCAAAACTATTCTACAAATCGGCAATGATATATATTACCTTAATAATATAAATGAAATCAGCAAAGGATCCAATCTTAATATTTTTTTAAATGCCTGCGCCCTCCCCCCTCCTTAAATGATAATTGATCAATTTTTAAACAAGCAGTTATGTAAATCGTAGTATATATATATATCTAGGAAGTATATATATATTTATATATATATATATACATATTTAATGGCGAGCGTATGTACATGGGTTATATGTGTCGACGCTGAGGAGGAAAGTTAGTTGGTAAGTTGCGTGTAAATTTAATTGAAAAAGTCCCCCTTTAAAAATTATACAAATAAAAGAAAATTGATTCTGAATAAAAAATTGTTTTACGAAAAGATTTTTATTCCGGCGGTACTGAGGTTTGCCCTGAATAAATTAAATTGGAATGGGAGCACAGATAATAGATGCGCGACTCGGCGATGAAAAAAGATTCCATTCAAGTGGAATTTAATCAAGGTTTGTATGATATATAGGATATTTAAATTTATGGATATATCCTGCTATATATTCCTACTATGGGTTAGTTTTCTGTTCATACTGATTAAAGAATAAAACATATATTATACGTAGAATCAATCCAAACGGAAGTGGTTTATATGTGTAGAAGATAAGGTTCAATAAATTCACACAAAAAAAAATTCCATTTACATATGTATAGAAACAATAAAAAGAAGATATTTTGTGGGTGTGTGTCAACAGATTAAAATAATTAAATATTTATATATGAACTGTTAAAAACAAATGGAATTTTACACAACTAAGAGATTCACAATTCGATAAATACAAATTAAAAATCTTTCTATTTTTAAATCTTATTTATTGAAGGGACATATATTTGAAAAATAATTTAAATTTTTAAATTAAGTATACGTTATTTCCCCTACCGAAATATACTATCGCTTAAAACGCCATCTCTAACAAATAACTATCGAAAGCCGGAGACACAACCGATAAATCACCGATTTCTTTTTGTACATCCCTACACGACTGCGACAAAAAGTGAATATTTCGTTTCGGGCTGTTTTTTTTTCGTTTCGTCTCTAAACTTTCGCCGTGTAATTGTGCTGTATCCTGAAACTGGCCAAGAACTGAGTGATCCGACAGCTATATAGCTGCTATCCGGACAAATGGATCTGTCTCCGGGGGATTTGGAGCAGTAACCCAACCCAAAAAGAGGGAAAAAAACGAGAAAAACGCAAGCAGAGGCGGCGGCAGCAGCAGCGAACACAGAGCGTGCGAGCGAGAGGGGGCGATATATTCGCTGAGGAAGAAGCAGAAGAAAAAGCAGAGGACTTGGGCTGGGGGGAAAAATTTTTGAATCGAATTTTTCGTAGTTCTCAAGTGGTGTATCTGCGACGAAACGGAACTCTTAATTGACTGAAATCATCGTATTGAAAACGAGAAACGAGACACCATACAGCACAATGGATCCGGACAGGGGCAGCGGGCAGGAGACGAAGGTCATCTACCACATTGACGACGAGACGACGCCGTATCTGGTGAAGATTCCCATTCCATCCGCCCAGGTGACGCTGCGCGACTTCAAGCTGGTGCTAAATAAACAGAACAACAACTACAAGTACTTCTTCAAGTCAATGGACGCGGATTTCGGGGTCGTCAAGGAGGAGATAGCCGACGACTCGACCATATTGCCCTGTTTTAATGGCAGAGTTGTGTCCTGGCTGGTATCGGCGGATGGGACCAACCAATCGGACAATTGCTCGGAGCTGCCGACCAGCGAGTGCGGCGACCTGGCCGGTATGGGCCGTAAAATATCGCAACAACAGCAGCAGGTGCAGCAGCAGCAACAGCAGCAGGTCCATTCCCAGCAACAGCAGCAGCAACAGCATCAACATCTCCAGCAGCAACAGCAGCAAAAGCTAATCGGCGGCAATCCAATGCTGCAGCCGCCACCGCTCACATATCAATCGGCATCGGTGCTATCCAGTGATCTGGACTCGACCAGTTTGTTTGGCACGGAATCGGAGCTAACACTGGACCGGGACATGACCGACTACAGCAGCGTTCAACGGCTGCAGGTGCGCAAGAAGCCGCAGCGTCGCAAAAAGCGAGCGCCCAGCATGTCGCGCACCTCCTCGTACAGCTCCATAACCGATTCCACCATGTCCCTCAACATCATTACGGTTTCGATCAACATGGAGGCGGTCAATTTTCTTGGCATCTCCATTGTGGGTCAATCGAATCGCGGCGGCGACGGCGGCATCTACGTGGGCAGCATTATGAAGGGCGGCGCCGTCGCCCTGGACGGAAGGATCGAGCCCGGGGATATGATCCTCCAGGTGAACGACGTCAACTTCGAGAACATGACCAACGATGAGGCGGTGCGCGTCCTGCGAGAGGTCGTCCAGAAGCCCGGCCCCATCAAGCTGGTGGTGGCCAAGTGCTGGGACCCGAATCCCAAAGGCTACTTCACCATACCGCGCACGGAGCCGGTGCGTCCGATCGATCCCGGCGCCTGGGTGGCTCACACCCAAGCGCTCACCTCGCACGACAGTATTATCGCCGATATCGCGGAACCGATCAAGGAGCGCCTGGACCAGAACAACCTCGAGGAGATCGTCAAGGCGATGACGAAGCCGGACAGCGGCCTGGAGATACGGGACCGGATGTGGCTAAAGATCACCATACCGAATGCATTTATTGGGGCGGATGCCGTCAACTGGGTGCTGGAGAATGTCGAGGACGTGCAGGACCGAAGGGAGGCGCGTCGGATCGTCTCGGCCATGCTGCGGAGCAACTACATCAAGCACACGGTGAACAAGCTGACGTTCTCCGAGCAGTGCTATTATGTGGTGAACGAGGAGCGAAATCCGAATCTGCTCGGACGCCAGATGCTCCATCCGCACCAGCATCCGCACGGCCATGCCCTCAGCCATGCGGACACGGAGAGCATCACCAGCGACATCGGGCCGCTGCCGAACCCGCCCATCTACATGCCATACTCGGCCACGTACAATCCCAGTCACGGCTACCAGCCGATCCAGTACGGCATCGCCGAGCGTCACATCTCGTCGGGATCCAGTAGCAGCGATGTCCTCACCAGCAAGGACATCTCGGCCTCGCAAAGCGACATCACATCCGTGATCCATCAGGCCAATCAGCTAACAATTGCCGCCCATGGCTCCAACAAATCTTCCGGCTCATCGAATCGTGGCGGCGGCGGAGGCGGGGGCGGCGGAGGCAATAATACCAACGATCAGGACGTATCCGTATTTAATTACGTATTGTAGAAACCTTTCTTTTTGCAATCAAATTGTGTTTTTAATTAATTAAATTAAATATGTACGATTATTCTTTTTTTATATACGAGTATACAAAGCAAACAAACAGCAAACCACAATATATAATAATTATAATAATAATAATAATACTTATGTATATGTATATGTAACTTGTAAGTCATAGGAAAGAACAGCAGGAGATGGAGATGGAGGAGGAGTAGCAGCCAGGATAATGAAAAGGACGTCAAGAATACAAAAAAAAAACAAACAAAAAAAAATAACAAACGGATCACCACAGGGATTTATATATTCGGCTAACGGTTGTGGCGACGATCAGATCAGATCAGCTGAGATATAACTGAGATATATAGTCCTGGCTGGGAAATAAATGATATGGCAGCTTGAGCATGCGAGCGAGAATGATTTTGAATAAAGTTCTAAGAATTTAGTAATCACAAAGTAAATAAATACAAATAAAATGAATAATCGATGGATTTTTTTTTATTGGAAAATTGCAATTACTTATCTTTTTGACACATTCATGGGTGGGTTACTTAAACCTAAAAGGGATATTTCTTCTAATACAGAAAAAAAGTAAACAAATTATCAAAAAATAAATATTAATTTCATTAAAATTAAAATTTTTCCTCAAAATGTAATGAAATTTTTCAGAGGCTGAAAAAATATTTGAAAATCTACACATGTGATTTCCTCAAATGAAAACATCTCTATACGCGGAACCATCGCTTTTCCAGGTATGGGCGTGCATTTGAAGTGCATAAAGAAATCTATAAATAGATTTTTTTTTCAAACAAACATCAAGATAAATAAAATTTTTAAAAAAGCCGCTACTCTCACCCGAACAGTATTTACCAACACTGTTTTCTGATACATTTATCGATAACTGCCCGGATCTATCGAACGCCAAAACCAAAACAAAAGCAAAAAACAAATAGAAATACAGCCAAAAAATAAAATATAAGAAAAAAATTAAATAAATGGCTACCGAAGTGGAGCCCGCAAATACGGCGGACAAGTTTTCGGCCAATGCCGAGGAGCTGGAGAGCTATTATCTGATGCTGGAAAACGGCAGCATTCCGGAATTGCAGTGGCAGTTTCCCGGACGGAGACCGCCATCTCCGGACGTTGGCGGCGGCGTCGGATCTGGCGCCACCAACAAGGAACTGGAGCAGACTGTTGGCGAACCTATAGAACAGGAGTAAGAGGATACCCAGATCTAAACATTGGATTTTTTATTAAAAATACCATTCTACTCTTTTTTTTTTAGGCCCCAAAAGGCTCAGAACGACTTTGATTTCAGCGACGATGTGGCGCCCACACAGATGCGAGTCAGAAGCCAGACATCTACGCCCAAGTCGGCCAAGAAGAAGACGGCCAACTTTGCTGGCGTTATGGAAACGCTGAAGAAGAAGAATGCCGAGAGCTCCTAGCATATGCTGAAGTTCTGATGTAATCCTAGCAAGGGTACATGGGAGTATATACGATTCTAGGCGAAGTTTCACCTTAAATAGGAAGGGGAATTTTCAAATTTTTAAAGAAATATTTAAAGAAAGATTTAAATATTATTCTATAAAATCAAAGGTCCGATTTTTGAGGGCTTTTTGATGAAGATTATGTTTTAAAGTTTTAAAGTAGATGTTAGTTGTCAAGTTAGGACTATTAACAAATTCTATAATCATTACATTTACAATTTTAAATTTTAAACAAAATAATAGCTAAGTTGTGCAATTTATAATTCTTTTATAAGATTTTGATTGAAATTATAAAACCAAAAATTTAATTGAAAGCTGTATAAAATAATATAGAAAATTTTAGACCATAACAAAATAAATTTAATAATATACTAAAAATAAAACCTAATGTACATATACATATACTAGATATTTAAAAATCCTTACCTTGGAAAGAACAGAGATAGATTGACAAAAATTCCCCCTAAGGCTATCTCTTTCGTTCTGAAATATTTTTCAATATTTAAATTAAACAAGAAAGGAAACTTAACCCTTGCGGTTGAGATTGGATATTTATCGCATATAGCAGGCCGATCCTTATTAGAATGTTGATATAAAACCAATTTATTTAAATGAAAATCTTAAAAAAAGTCCCAAGCATCTATTTTGAAAAACACTAAAGTTTATATTTTTACCAAATATTCTTTCATTTTGTTCAGTTCATGGCATGTATAGGATAACGTCTTTCTTTATAAAATCTTTATAACCGATCTTAATAAAATTTGGTAAGTCGGATCATATGGCCCAAAATAGATTCTGTAGGAACTTCCAACTTTCTTCCAACAAAAACCTAAGTAGGGATATAATCCCCTATAGGGCCCACTATATGGCTATATCTTCCCCAATTCTCATCCGATTCTCAAGCGGAGTACCTTAAACGATTTCTAGATCGATTTGCCACCATTCTGCATCAAAATCCTGAGACAAAATATTTTTTCGATTTTTTGCCCATTTTTCCTAATGGGGTTTCTTGAAAATGGTGTTTTCCCCTATAGGGCCCACTGGGATGGCTATATCTTCCCCAATTCTCATCCGATTCTCAAGCAGAGTACCTTAAACGATTTCTAGATCAATTTGCCACCATTCTACTTCAAAATCCTGAGACAAAATATTTTTTAGATTTTTGGTCCATTTTTCCTGATGGGATCCCCTGAAAATGGGGTTTTCCCCTATAGGGTGCACTGGGATGGCTATATCTTCCCCAATTCTCATCCGATTCTCAAGCGGAGTACCTTAATCGATTTGTGGATCGATTCTCAACAATTCTCCATCAAAATCCTGAGACAAAATATTTTTTCGATTTTTTGTCCATTTTTCCTGATGGGGTCACTTGAAAATGGGGTTTTCCCCTATAGGGCGCACTGCGATGGCTATATCTTCCCCAATTCTCATCCGATTCTCAAGCAGAGTACCTTAAACGATTTCTAGATCGATTTGCCACCATTCTGCATCAAAATCCTGAGACAAAATATTTTTCAGATTTTTTGTCCATTTTTCCTAATGGGGTCCCTTGAAAATGGTGTTTTCCCCTATAGGGCCCACTGGGATGGCTATATCTTCCCCAATTCTCATCCGATTCTCAAGCAGAGTACCTTAAACGATTTCTAGATCGATTTGCCACCATTCTGCATCAAAATCCTGAGACAAAATATTTTTCAGATTTTTGTCCATTTTTCCTGATGGGATCCCTTGAAAATGGGGTTTTCCCCTATAGGGCGCACTGCGATGGCTATATCTTCCCCAATTCTCATCCGATTCTCAAGCAGAGTACCTTAAACGATTTCTAGATCGATTTGCCACCATTCTGCATCAAAATCCTGAGACAAAATATTTTTTAGATTTTTTGTCCATTTTTTCTGATGGGATCCCTTGAAAATGGGGTTTTCCCCTATAGGGTGCACATGGATGGCTATATCTTCCCCAATTCTCATCCGATTCTCAAGCGGAGTACCTTAATCGATTTCTAGATCGATTTACCACCATTCTGCATCAAAATCCTGAGACAAAATATTTTTTAGATTTTTTGTCCATTTTTCCTGATGGGATCCCTTGAAAATGGGGTTTTCCCCTATAGGGTCCACAGGGATGGCTATATCTTTCGCAATTTCCATCCGATTCTCAAGCGGAGTACCATAAACGAATTCTAGATTGAAAAAAAACTTGAAATAAGAAATACTAGCCATTAAACACGTAAGAAAATTGATTTATTTGCGGAAATATCCATTTCATTTAAGACGAATAATAAGTTATTGTGCCTGCGGGTGTGTGTGTTGTTTGTTTTTGTTTTTTTTTTTTGTTTGTATACATCTTGTATATAGAATATATATAGTTATACAGATACAATTCTGTGTATGTATATATAGAGTGTATATGTTTTTGTTTCTTTTTGTAAATATATATAATTCGTTTCTGTTTCGAAGTATTGTGTAGGTTCAAAATGGCATTTGATAAACATTAATTGACATACCTTAGGACTATATGTGCACATGTTTGTAGATATAACTTAGTCGCAGTATTCGTATAAATTGTATTTCTCTTCCTTTCCATTTCTTTTATTTAAAGCTTAACTAATTTAATTGTTATTTACACAATACATATACTTTTTTTTTTGTTTAGTTTTTAGTTTTGTGTGTATAAGCCATTATATAAGTGAAAAAAAATGCAGCTCAAGCTTATAACAATATATAACAAAGTGGGCTAAAATTTATAACACATAGGGTTGAGAATTTTTGCTTTAAGTTTAGGTCAGGGACTTAGTCAAAGTAGCTCCCTAATTTGGGGGGCGGGGGGCGTGAGACTAAGATCTGGCGAGAATACGAGAGAAAGGCTAGCAAGGCAATATTTTTGTTGATTTTTTGTTTTTTTTTTTGTGTGTGGCCTTAGAGATTAGGATTCTGATTTGATTTTCCAAGCAAGAAAATCACGTCAAGTTTTGAGGGTGTTTTAAAAACGTACATATTAAAAGCTAACATCTTAAAAAAAAAACATATTCCCTAAAAAATATATAGTATATAATGTGTATATCATTCCGGTGTTCAAAACACACTCTTTAAGCTCTTAGTCCCCCTTCAACATCATTCATTCATTCTTCGGTCGGGGCTGTGTCTGGTCTTGGAGCTGCTCCATTGCTAGTCGGTAGCGAGTCTCTAATGCCACAATGGGGGGCTATCATCCTGACGATGTCACTAAAGCGGGGTCGGGAGCGGGGCGTGGCATTCCAGCAATCTTTCATCAGAGCGTAAATAAATTCCGGGCAATCTTTGGGGCAGGGTAAGCTGTAATATATGTAAATGAGAATGTGTTATCAGCAAATGACCCGTAAAGGTTATCGTTTAAGCTCATAAAGTCTCCACGGATCAGTTCATCGAATGATGACAAATGTAATGAATAAATTAAGGGCCGATTAGACTCACCGTTCCCCATCAATAAGACGTTTAAGGAAATCCTCATTGTCTTTCTGAATCGGTTGCAAGTTTGGCAATTCGCCGCGGGAGAACATCTCGTATAGGGTGACTCCATAGCTCCAAACATCCGAGTACGTTGAGATTTTTCCAGTTGATATGGCCTCCGGGGCGTACCTAAAAAAAATAAATTATTATTATACCCATGAGAGAGGTACTATACATGTTGGGATTGCAAGACGTACCATTTAATGGGTATGTCGCGATTACTTATAGCGATATAATAGCCATCGGAGTTGGCGAACTGCGCCAGACCAAAGTCGGAGATTTTAACGCTATCACAACCACCGTTGCGATCGACCAGAATGTTTCGGGCGGCCAGGTCCCGATGGATAAGCTGTTTCCCATCCAAATAGTCCATGCCCTATGGGGATACAAAGGGAAACAAAGTCATTAAATCGATCCTCATGGGAAACATAAATTCTTAAAGAGGAAGTGCCAGTTTCCGCTTCACATACCAGTGCTATTTCCAGAGCGAAGCTTATCAGGCCGGAGTTCTTGAGATTGGGGGCCTCGAAGCGCAGATATTGATCAAAGGAGCCGGACAAGTACTCCATCACGATGCACTGCCGTCGCTCCGCATAATACTTAAACTTGACCACATTCGGGTGGTCCAGTTCGCGCATTATGTCGATCTCGCGGAGAAAATCGGCCGAGACATGCATGTTATTCGTTAGCTGTTTGATGGCCACCTGCTCCGGTGAACGATCCTTGTCGTAGTATTCTAACTGGCCCCGATACACGACGCCATAGTGGCCCTGTCCGATCTGGTTAGCGGTGCTGAATATAAGCCTACAATCGTTCAGCTCCACCACCATGCAGAGATTGGACTTGGGGAAGGGTATTGGACAGGGTATATTATGGCTCTCGCTGCGATACTCATCCGTTGTGCCATCTGAAAAGAGACTCTTTTTAGATAATCCGATCTTAATTAGTAGAATTAATGGAGAAACATACTGGTATCAAATCCTGGGGCGGGCATGTAGTCTGTAGCATACTTGTCCTTGATAATACTCAGACGGGCAAAGATCAGGTGGGGACTGAAGCGCTTCTGAAACTCATCGCTCCACCCATCCATAATCGTTTCGGATATGAGGGACGGACATATGTCCGCGTCCAGAGGCTCCAGAATATTGCCATCCATATTCCGCTGACGCCTCAGATCCTCCTGTCGTAACGTCCTCAAATCCCGCTGGCATCGCGAGAATATCTCATAGGTGGTGGTGGCAAAGGCCCAGAATTGAACGTGTATATCTTTCTTGGCAGCCTGAAGGTTACGATAATACGAAACTGGTATCCAGGGTGAACTAAAAAGAGATTAAGGATCAAAAAAATTAATAAAGTAGTCTTTAAATTCTGTTTTGGAAAACTTACTCAGATTCTCCATAGGGACGCGGATAGCCGGGATCACTGATCTTGGCTTCCAGTATAAAGTTGGAGGGATCATACTTCGTCACATACATATTGCTGGCCCTTATATAGCTATGTATTATCTTATTATCCTCCAGATAGTGCATGCCGCGCACCAGCCCATGCATCAAATCCAGCAAACAGTGCAGACTCACGTCCCGCTTCGTCTGAAGGAATCGATTCAATGGCTTGTCGCCATTGTACTCCATCACCATGGTATAGGGATCGGATAGCGTGAGGCCGTATAGCTTGAGGAACTGCGGTGACTGGATGAGACTCCAGGTCTGGGCCAGACGGAAAAACTCCATAAAGTCGCCATCGCTCTTCAGCATTTTCATGGTGACGGGCACATCCTTGACGGGACTCTGTTGGATCCAATCGCCGCGTATCGAGAACATCATACCATCCTCGCAAAGTGAAATCAAGTCTAAAACGAAGTGCGTCTTTGTGATAAAGTTCTAAGGAGTTCTATGGGAAAAAACCCACCTGGATACCACTGAAGATCCGTTTTAGGATTAAAAATCTGGGGATTACGCCGCTGCAGTTCCGACTCGCTCAGCTGCAGGTCAGTCTTTTTGGCCTTGAGGTTCTTTGGCAGCAGGAGCAGCAGCAACGGCGGCTTGTCGTACTTGGAGGGCGGCAGCCTCACCCTGTCATTCGTGTCCGCCTTGATGAAGTGCGCCACCTCGGCCAGCGAATTGAACGTGTGATCGGCATTGTTGTAGGTGAGCCTCCACTGATTCGCCTCCAATCGTACAATACGGAAGGTTTCCGGCTTACAACGCTCCTGATCCGTTTCCCTCGCAATTCTATACCCCAAACAAAATCATCTATTATTTGTAATGTTTATAAATATTACTATGGTGTACACACATCTTGGTGTTGATATCAATGTAGTAGACCCCGTATTCCCGGTCGCATTGACGCACAATGTAACTCCCACACCGATCCCCATTTTCGTGTAGTTTCATTAAGGAATAGGCTCCCCCTATGGGAGGGTGTATGTGCATAGTTCCCAGCTCCTCCAGCGACGGGGTGCGATACGAATGGCACAGGTCCTGCATCCATTTGGTTGTTAATCTGTCATGGAAATTAAACAATTTATTGCAAAGTGTTGCTGATCTTAAAGGTAATTACTACTAGTCTGTATTTTCTGAAAACCCTCGTGTATAGGACTGAGCTAAGCTCAGTGGATGGGATGGAAAAATATTGGCATTAAGGTTAATGAGTCAAAGCAATTGTGCTTTATCAACTAAATTAAATTATTCATTTTAAATTTAAGCGTTATCAACCAAACCAATGTATTCGTTTTAAATTGATTTAATTAATAAGGCACAGGGGCCGTGACTTAAAGTCCTGATAAGATCCTATAACCGTGAAACTACATAGAGTTCTTCTAAGAAAATTAATAAAATAAGAAAGGAAAACTTTAACAAGAATAAAACATTTAAGTTAATGTCACATTTTTTAAATATCAGTTATTTATTATTGGTCGAGCCTTATGAGAATCTTTTTGTAAAAATCCCAAGCTACTATCTACAAAAACACCAAAGTAATGACACATCCTATCGTTCAGTTGCAAGGCAGCTATAGGATATAGTCGGTGAATCTTAATGAAATTTTGTAAAGCCTATTATTTGGTTAAAAATAAAATGGGTAAAAAATCTCAACCTTCCAACTTCAAAAACACTGAAGATATGGCATTTCGATCAATCATTTTTGATAATCAAGTATCCTAAAGAAGTATACTGCCCCATGTCTCAAAGCCCAAATGATAATACTTTTATAATAGGATGTTGGTGTTCTTACTTAGAAATGTCTACCTCAAAATGGCTTCCAGATTTAAATATTATTTTTAAAATCTTAACCTCCATAGAAAACCTTTCTAAGAACCCATCCATTTGAAAAAAGATTTATTTAGAGATCCTCCTTCAAAATATTATTGAAGCTAAAAAGGGATACATATTTAACAACATTTATATAGAAATCTTATGTTAAGTTGATGCCTTAATTCTGAGAACTAATTCTTGTTAAAATACTTCAGCAAAAACATCAAATTTTTAATGAATTTGAATAGTTTTATTTTTAGAACCTTCCTTATGATATCTTTTGGTAAAAATAAGTTAAAATCGCTCTGCCAAAACATTAAAAATTAGTATTCCGTTGAAATATTAATGTCGCCTGACGTATATACTAAACTAAATTATGTATTTCCTTATCAATTAAATAATATTAATTTTAACAACGACAGACTTAATGACTTTTTTATGGAGGGGTTTTTTTTCGTTCTTTAAATAATATTTTTGATAAGAGCACAGTTTTGAAAGACCATGAAAGACTTCCACGAAATATATGTACATTAAAATATCAAAAAAACAAAAAATATTTCACTTAGTTTCAGACTTAATTGAGTTAACTTATAGAACTAAGAGCACTCACCTTATATAAATGCTTAGGTAGGAGATGAAGGACTTCATTTCCTGCTCCGTCTGGAATCGCATCTCGAATCCTTTGGGTAGTCCCTCTATCTCCAGCCTAACGTCGGTGTTACTGATCTTCGAGATCATGAAAATACCTTCAACACGTCCCACCAACAGCCACTGAAATTCAAGAAATTATAAAAATTTTTATAATCAGTCGTTTTTTGACAGTTTTTAAAAATGTCTTTTGACCTTCGCCATTCTTCCTAAATCCAGCAACCAATCTGGAAAGGCGACTTGCTCATGCTTATCAGCATACAATCCCCCAATAGTGTGCTACTTTGATAGTGGACAGAACTGGCATTTAAAAAACATAAAATTTTAATTATAATATAGAAAAGTGGAACAAACAAATGGCATTAAATTCCCTCCAGAGGATTCTAGAAAGCACACAGGTCTACAGTCTAGACCTTAACTTTAAAAATTCATAAAGTTTTTAATGATTTTAAAGAATAATATTACTATTAGATCCAGAATCTATGGCTACAATATAGTAATTACCTTCAGTGTTGCCTCAGAGGTGACACGGGCCACTTTGAGGCCAGGATTTGGAGAGTCGTGCGGGAAAACCCGGACATAGACATCGATTCCTGCATTCGGAGGACGTCGCTTGCCCTTCTTGCCGCTGCCCACGTTCGTTGTGAGTGTCGATATGGTGCTGGTGGATCCCATATCCGATGATGACGTGGATGTCAAGGCTCCGGGTATGGTGGTCAGGCCATGACCCAAATACGGTGCGCCGCCGGGCAGATCCTCGTTGGGCAAATACATGACCGTGGCCATGAACTGTTCGGTCAAGTAGGTGGGCGCCAAGTGGGCCACCTGGTGCACGTAGTGCCACATCAGGCGGTCCACGCTCGGCGAGTTGGCGCTGAGGGTGCGAAATACTTCGAGGATCTTGGAGCTGACAAAGATGCTGTGCGCCTTCCACAGCCTGGGCGGCAGGTATTTCTTGAACATCTTCTCCATCTCACGCATCGACTTGTGGTTCAGCTGCATATCGATGATCATGTCCACCACGATCAGTCCGCTGGTCATATTCTTGTTGTCCGGATAGCGGATCTCGGGTATCAGCTCGTTCACCATATCGTAGCTCATCTGTCTGTAGAGGAAGCTGTGGCTGGCCTGATCTATCTGCTCCAGTTGGGTGTCCAGTTCTGGCACACGGAATCGCATCTTGAAGCAGTAGAGAATTTCGGGTTTGAGATGCTCGTTGTGCGATACCCAGGTGCATTCGATTCTCACGGCCGTTGGCGATCGTGTCGTTGTGTGGTGTTCCCGGATGCCGAAGAGCAGGATGCAGGTTGGTTTGATGCCAAGTTCGCGGCATATCTGTATGATGATCTTCTCGCACTGAAGACCCACCGGAAACTCCCGATATTTGGACATTTTGGGAATCGCGACTCGGACCACACTGTCGGTACTGTGAAGACTTTGGGACGAGGAGGCGCCACTGCGCAGTGATGAGTTGGTGAGGCTGGCACTGTCCGCCAACGAAGTGCGACCACTGCTATTGTCGTCCATTTTGGGGCCGTTTAATTATTTTGTCCTCTGAGCCAAAGGATTCCCCTTCCAATGCGCACTGAGTGAGAGCTGCCTCCTTGGTTGCCTGCCACTCTATCACCTGATAAATATTCGAGGAGAGATTAGTAGGTGGAGGAGGAGGGGCACCTCCGACACAATCCCCGCTAGAAATTCGCGACTGTCTGGCTGGCGGAGCCGTAGCACTCTGATATCAAAAACCGACTGACGGCATTAGCCACCCGACACCTCGGATCAAAGCTATCTGGGGAAACTTGGAGCCCAGCTTGTTTATATTCGTGCCTAGCTGATTTCCGAGTCGGACAGGGTTATCTTGCGTTGTTGTTTTTGCTGTTTTCAGTGTTGATAAGCCTTGGATTTTTCGGTATTTATTGGTATATTTTCTTCATTAATATGCTATCGATAATTATAATTGCAGTATTTTCTATCCGATTTCTTATCGCACTTTTTTCAGTTTTTTCCGGCAACGCCGTTCCCGGCTAAGCTGGTGCTGCCACCTGATTTAAACATATATTTCAAATATTAGGCGCCTTATATTTTAATACAAAAATTGAAGAATAATACGAAATATTTAGTTTCATTTTGTTTAGTTCTTTTCTTGATATATTTTTTAGATTAATTCTTTATAATTCAATTGCTCAGGTTAATGAAACTAGTTCTTGATTTTGTTAAAATTTTTATATTATAATCTTAAAAAAAGCGCTTAACAAAATATGTATAACTTGTTTTAATTTATTTTTTGCATAATTTATACCGATAAGCTGCCGTTTTCCCACGATGAATTCTTTAATATTCTAAGCGATACACATACTTTGAGTTCTTTCCTGTGAGCTGAGCCCCTCTTTTCTTCAGCTACTACGATAAATTTAATTAGTTTTTAACATTTTGAAGCCTTCCCTTTGCGGTCCGAATTTGATAAGACTATTTATTTTGACCACAAGGCCTCCAGTGTCTATGATAAACCTCTTATCGCACTTTCTAAAAGGAAAAATTATAAAAAGCATATGGTACACTTGTGTTTTCTTTTTTTTTTGTGCCCGTAAAACAACAAAATCTATTATTTTCAATTAATTGATACAGATAAAAATGTGTTTATTTAAGAATAATTTTTAAATATTCAATTATAAAAAAGGAGGTTTTTATTCAAAATATCAAAAATAAAAAGTAATTTTAAATAGTAATAAATAATAAATAAATACTAACTTAATTTAATATTTATTATTCATTTAACATTTATTTATCTTCATAGTCTTATAATCTTTATGAATTTAATTTTGACAAGCCTCCCAATTTAAATTTCCTGAGGCTGGCTTCATATTCTCGCGCTCTTTTCTCAAATTCAGCTAAAAACTTGAAGAGATCTCAACAAAAGCTAAGAGAAACCCGTTACGAGTTTCCCATCCAGAGCAATACAAATCAGCTTCCTTGGCGCCCGTCTCTGGGGGATAAACGGACAGCACTCCCGGGCGGAGGAGCTGGTTCCACCCAATCGCACCGCCCGCGTTCACGTGCCACCAGCACCACCGTCTGACCTGCGCCGCCATCCAGCCAATCAGAGTCGGGGGGCGTGGCCATAACGGTAAGCCGGCCCGTATCCGATTGGAGCGAGCGCATGCCAAAGAGAGCGCCACACCGGCTGAAGAATGCAAGGTGAGAGAGAGTGGCAGAGCGCCGGAGAGGCGGCTTGGCGTTCGGTTGTCGCTCGGCTGGAGTTCGGTTATCGTGGGGCCTAAGTCGCCGCTGGTGGCCAAGCAAAGTGTCAGTAACGGTTTAACCCGCGAGCGTACCATATTACTTTGCTTTGCCCCTCTAGAATAAAAAATAAAAAAAAACCAAATACGCGCCTTGTGCCAAATATATTTATTTTTTTTTAAGTTTTGCGTAAAAGCAAAAAAAAAAAATAAACCAAAACAAAAAGTGAGTGTAAGTTTCAAAATAAGCCACAAAAAACAAAAACAAATAAACGCGCCAAAATATTAAAAACTTTTATTTTAAAAACTAAAGTGAATAAAAGTGTATAACTAAAAAAAAATATATATATATGTACATATAAACAAAGAATAGCCTGAATAATGCAATTCTTGTTCAAACTTTAACTGTTACACTCTTAACTCAAAAAATTAAATAAAACATACAAATTTATTTTATTTAAAAATAAAAGTGCAAAAAACAATAAATTAAAACAATAACAAATAAAAACTCAGATATCATTTTTACGCTGCATGTTAGAAACTAAAAAGAAAAACAAACAAACATCTAAATGTTAATTTTTGGTGAAGAATTTATAAAAGTTGTATCTTAAATAAAATTAAAAACAACAAAACAAACTTGCTAAATTGTGCCAAAACCCAGATTTAATTTAAAATTTTAAATAGTTCCAAATAGAACTCCCCTGGGAAAATACCATAAGTGGGTTTTCTTGCGAGTTTTTGAGTTTTCTAAATATTTCGAGTTTTCAAGTTTTTTTTTTTTTAAATTATTTTGAATAAATACATAGTAAGATTATAAAATACTGAAAAGTTTAAACTTACAACACATAAAAATAACTTAATTTTTTGAAAAGATCATGTTGGAAAATATTTGAAACCAATTTTGGCCAAAAAAAGACAAAGAAAGACCAACAGAATATCAAAAAATAATCACAACAAAAAATTAATAATAAAATATTGTATATTTTTTTTTTCGGTTTCAAAGCAAAAAGAGATTAGACTTTTTTGATGAGTGACGAACAAAGGGGAGCGCGGAGGAGGAGAGTGTGTGATAAGGGATCTGCCCGCCGCTAAACACCCGCACCCACACACTGAGAGAAATAGCAAGGGAAATCAAAAGGACCGAAATCGCCGGTTTAAGATCAAAGTGATCATCGAAGTGCTTTGAATTCGCCGTCGGTGACGAATGCATTTGCATCTCCTGGTGGCAGCCGCGACGCCTCCAGCTGATCATACGGGTGGTGTGGAAGACGCCGCCACAGAGGCAACTTTCAACAGTGTTGCAAGTAGCGAGGCAGCAAGCACTAATCCCAGTAGCATCCCCGCAACAGTCAATTGGCCGACCAGTGTGGCGCCCGTCAGCATCGCCGGTCCCGGCCGCCTTGCTCGCAGCATCAACGGCAGCAGCGGCGGCGGCAGCGGCAGCCATCACCATCATCACCTGCACCATCACTACGCCCCCTATCACGCCGCCGCCTACCATCCGCATCATCCGTACTCGTACCACCACCCGCCGCCAGGCACCCCCACCCCCACGGCCACTGCCGCATCGGTCGCCTCGGCCGTCTCAGCCGGTGACATCGCCACTGCCGCACATCCGCCGCCCGCCTCGCATCCGCCCGCCATGGTCACCTCGTCGTCCGCCTCGCCCACCGGAAATGGCTGGACCAGCACCGGGGACTTCAAGGGCCTGACGGCCGTGCCCGCCGTGGTGGCAGCCACGGGCGCCAGTGGAGGCAACTCCGCCGGTGGCACAACCGCCAAAGTGTTGGCCATTTCCAGTAGCGCCAGTGTTGGCAGCAGTTCGCCAACAGGTGGCGCCAGCAACGGCACCGCCCACAGTGGACACAGCGGTAGTACCACTAGCAATAGTGGCAACAACAACAACAGCTCCAATAGCAACAACAACTCGAATAGCAACAACAACAACAATGCCCTGCACCAGGATCTGAAGTGGATGGAGAGATTGGTGATGAAGCGACAGCAGGAGCATCCAGGAGAATTGGGTGAGTTACAAAAAGGTCAAAAGGTTACAATTTTTTATTAAAAAACAATCAAATAATTAAGTTTAAAAAACAGGCAGAGTTTAAAAAGATAAAGGATATTGTTTTCCATCTATGCATTTTTTAGAAACTATTTTTTTTAGGTTTCAAAAGCAGTTTTTCGAAATTAAAGGAAATACTTGAAATTTCAAGATAATCATGTTCATATTTTAAAGTTTTTTTTCTTCGAAAATGACAACTGTTATTTCTATGTCTGAATCTTTAATTTAAATCTTCAACTAAAATAGTAACTCGAAAAAATAAATTAATTATTTAAAAAACTATAAGTACAAAGTAGGAGAAACGTAGAAGTAAAAAGTATAAATATGTATTTTATTATCCAGAAAGTTCAATTGAAATAGGATACATACACCCGATGATATCGTATACATATGATATATTAAAAATAGTTAGAGATCTAATAAATTTGAAATCGATTTGAAAGATTGTTTAAAAGATAATAATTAAAATAAATCTTAGCAATAAAAGGAAGGTATAAAAAGAGTCCCGTATTTCTCCCTACCATTAAAAAGAATATTTTAAATAAGAAATAGGGTAAAAAATACATTTAACAAATTAGGTTTTTGCTTCAATTATCCATCCTGTTTTTTTTTGTATTTTTCTTGCAACTTCCTCAACATTTTTATCATCAAAGAGTAAGATCCTCTTTTCGAACTTTTCCCACAAAAAGCTACTACTTATACTTTCCCTTATAAAAAATCTATAAAATAAAAAAATAATAAAAGGCAACACTTTTAGCTCGTGGCCCGGCTGAGATTGCATTTTTTTTTTTACAAAAAGTTATACTCACATACTGTACGGACGAGTATCTGTGGGATAACCCGATCCCCAAAAGGTGAAGCGCAAATTCTTTGCCACATCCTTGCACAATGCACTTCTAGAGCTTCCTCATCATCATCATAATCTATATATGCATATATATATATATATATATTTATGTAAGTAGCCTTATCGGATTGCACAAGTCAGAGCAGAGCCTCCAGCGGGATGACGATGTCGGGATATGTGCGTAAGTTGATATCGATAATTGTTATTGATATCAACGCACGAGTCTTTGGCCTTTTTTTTTGCTCATCTTCGGGTCGATTGGTGATATCAATGACCCAAAGCGAAAGCTGCTAATGAAATCTCAGCTCATCGCTCCCCCTTTTTTACTTTTTTTACAAAATATAATCAGCAAAAGGAAACTGGTTCTTTAAACCTTTCTTTAATGTCCTTTAATTAAAGTTTTAGTAATTAAAATATATAGAAATTATATTATATAATTCTCTAAAGGATTATCCTACTTTATATAGATCTCTTAGCATCCTTATTCCCATAAACGCAAATCCATAAATCATTCAAATGCCCCATTTTTGACTCCACTTTGGACGCAATCAGGTCAAATGTCAAACGCCATCCGGATGATGGCTTTAACCCTATTGAGTAATTAATTATGCACCGCCGGATGGCGGCTAAAGGACCAAAAGGACGCAGGACAACGGACAACAGATGATTGATATTTATGAACTGAAATAAACTATAAATTATTGAATATTTTGACGCTGCTTGCTTGGCCATGAAATTGTATAATTTAATCAGGACCACTTGCCACTTAATTGTTTTATCCTTAATATCCTTGTTTTTTATTTTTTTTTTTTTTTTTTTTAGTGCGCACGAGCAATCCTTACTTCTTGTGCTCCGCCCTGCCCTCCCATTGGCGCTCCAATAAGACGCTGCCGCTCGCCTTCAAGGTCGTCGCTTTGGCGGAAGTGGGCGACGGGACTTATGTCACGATCCGGGCCGGGAACGATGAGAACTGCTGCGCCGAGCTTCGTAATTGTACCGCCCAGATGAAGAACGACGTGGCCAAGTTCAACGACCTCAGATTTGTGGGACGAAGCGGAAGAGGTGAGTTTTTTAATGAATTTCTAGTTGGGATTTAGGGATATAATAAAGTATTACCTGCAAAAGAATGGGTTCTTTTACTTATTATATCAAAAAATAAATGATATTATTTTAACATTATTGATATAAGCTTCACTTTTCTTTGCTAAAAATTGCTAACCTTAGTCACTCTTCCTTTAAAAACCAAGATATCTTCTCAACCTTTTCACAATCCTTACTTTCTTTCCTCTAATTTGAATGTAAGCTTCTCGGATCTTCTCAACGGAAGTTCTTGACTTAATTTGATCTTAAAATATACTCAAAAAAAATCCCTTAAATTTAAAAAACTTCAAAAAACATTTGTCAAAGGTGGTTAAGGGATAGCTTCGTTTTTAAAGAATGTTAATATGGAACATAAACTTGAATATGAAACTGTATATTGTTAAACCCGTTTAAAAAAAGGGCTTTTAACAGTTAAAGGCTTTAAATAATCTATTAAAGGTTTAAGCTTTAAATTTCTTATATACTTTAAAACAAAATTTAAACAACTCACAATTATAGTTCTTGCCCCAAAAAATTAACAGAGTTTCCTCTTTCGGTTCTCTTTCTTGAAAATTTCTATAACGATTACTTTAAGTTGTTTTTAAAATGGTTAAAACGCTTTGAAACTTAGTTTTTTTTACTGTGCAAGTGACAGGAAAAAAAAGGTTAACAAAAAGAACTATATTATCAGATCGGAAGTGCTGCATTGATTGAGTGACAAGCCCGAAAATGAAGAGGAGTTCTTAGTTCTTAGCACCCTGAGAAGACCTAATGCCTTCCTTTAAGTTAGTTCTTCGTATTTTTGGGTATTCTGATGTCTGTCCATAAAAAGGATCAAAAGATCAATGGTACAGCAGTCGTCACATTAGGCTGCAGTTGGCGCTGGCCTCGGGGAGCAGGAACATGCAACATGCAATATGCAACATGCAACTTCTCACTTGCAACTTGCATATGCGAGGAGTATGTATATGGAAATGCCTGCACTGGGATCGGGACACGCAATGTTCTGGTAATCGATTTGAACCCACAATTATATACATATATATATATATATATATAGTAGTATGTATATATAGGGAGTATATATTAGTATGTCCCAAGAACATTGCATAGAATTTTGCAGCAGCAGCAGTTGGCTAATTAGCTGCAACTGTTGCCTATCTGTTTTTGATCCAAAGTCCACCACATACATATCCGTAGCAACCCTCCCCACTGTCTCTACAATTCTTGACCAATTTGAAGGACTCGTGCCGCAAAAGGACGAAACACAAAATAATTACAACAATCACTCGGAATCCAAAAGGGGCATGCAAATAACAAGCTAATGATGTAAGAACATAAACGCTGACCAAATTGTCAACGGCAGGCAACAAAGTTCACTTGGCCTGGCTTATAATGGTCACGCCCCCACCACGCCACGCCAAGCCATGCCACGACCCAACGACCTTTGCGCCCTCACTCCCCCCCTCACTTGCCCTGTGAGTCGCGGGACATCATGCGGCGATTTCTGATTAGATGACAAAGCGAATCCGTATCTGAAACAAAAACAAAAGCCCAAAGGCAAAAGCCATCAAAACGTCAACGGAAAAAAATATTAAGCGACACTTGTAGCAGGGATATGGGGCTTAAGGTTAGACTTAATAATATCCTTTCATTAGGAAAAAAGACATTTTGAGAACAAACTCAATAATAATTCTGAAAATATGTGCAGAAATATAGGGAAAAATAATTTAATATTTAATATTTTAGTTTTCAAATAATATTTTTAATCAAATACTTGCTAATAAAGAGACTCGTAATACACTAATCTACAGTCTTGTAAAGTAGTAATATAAATAATATTATTCATTTTACTAAATATAATTTTTCTTATCACAAAGAAGTGAATAAAAAATTATTTTTCGTTGTTAAAACAAACACAAAACAAAAAAATTAAAAAAGTGAATCATATTTTTAAAAGACTTGAATTACAGGGTATTATTTTAAGAGGCTTTGGGGAGGACTCTGTGGGCGGAGAGACAATTTATGCAATTAATTGAGTGGGCGTGGCCATTTATCGCCTCATGATCCTGCTCCTGGCATGCGTCAACATATTTGTTAATTTTTTTCTTTAATTTTAATCACCAGAAAAATCTGAAATGGTCATTGAATATTAGTGTCCTTTATGTCCAGGGTTGATCCCCCATTAGATCCTTTTAATTAACAGCACAAACATTCCAAATACTCTCACTCCTTGTACCTTAAAATATGATATCATATCAAAGGACTTGACTTCTGTCAGGCAATGCTGGCCAGTATTAAAATTTGCTGGAAAACAAAACAAATGAAGGACACGCGCCAGGTTGGAATTTATAAGTCGCTTCAGGATTTACATGTATTTTTGTTATTTTTTTTTCGGGAAAAGGGTTGACAAGGGGGAGATGGCTGATAAACTTCAACAAGTCCTTGATCCGTCTTAGTGGTTGCAGATACATACTTTTTGCAGAAAATAGACTCTGGGTTAATAGGATGAATTTGTTTTTGTAATAGTTAGTCGGTTCTAGAATAGATATTTTGAGGGTTTCTATTAGGAATTCAAAAAGAAGTTATTTGGCAATTATCATACTTTTAATTTCAAAACACAATGATCTTCTATGAAATATATATCTTGTATTATTATATTTTATTACATAAAGGTCTTCTCAGTTTAAAGTTAAAGTTTTGATAAAACAATACCCAGAATATTCGTGTTTGGATTTGTTTAAAATAAAATAAAGCTATCACTCTGGGAATATATTTAATATCTTCAACAGAAATCATTTCCCTGGGAGACGTTATTATGCCATAGTTCCCAGCCCAAAAAAAAAAGTCTCCATAAGTCTCCATAAATATACCCCCTTAATAGATAAGGTTAGCCGTTTTTTTTTTTATGTAATCCAAGTAATCCACAATCAGTGCGAATATGAACGTATGTTCCGAGTGATTTGTCGCAAGGGCTATACTTAATACTAAGTTCCCACAGAGTTTATCGGAATATTCGTACAAATATAGTGAGTATGCCTCATTGGGATTGCCTCAGTTCTGAAAACACACTACGTTTTCAGATCCAAAATATGATTTATATTAAGTAGAAATAACTGACGAGTGCGTGAGCCTTATTGTTCATATTGATAATGACTAATTTGGATTCCAGAAAGAGAAACAAAAAATGGGTCTGTTGTCCATGTCCCATTATATGGTTATTACCTTTTCGGGGCTTTCATGGTCCTATATATTTTATCATTCAGCCTTCGGACAAGAAAAGACAAAAGGGCCTAGAGCCCCCGAGAAGGGGCAATAACGTTTTCCAATTACTCTCTAACGAACTTTTACGCAAGTCGATGGATGCTCCAGTTTGTCTGGCTCTTTTTGAAAAATTACCCAAACCCCCTCCACTACAAAAGAAGGAGCTCGGTTTCTTTCTTTCCATGGGCTTTGATTAATTTGGATTTGGAGATTTCTTCTCCAAACGAAAAGTACACGCACAGCGACCATTTCTGTTAATAATAATCATAATAATAAAGACATTTGAAAAAGAACCGAAAACGCTTTCTAACTGATGCCCATTTCGTCTGCTCCTCGACATCCATTTCCATTCGTGGTTTTTTCTCTAATTGAGACTCCGATTGAGACATCAAATCTTTGATTATCTCCATCTAGTTTGGACGTAATCGAGTTCATATCGAACCTAATGGGTGTACTTTCGGGTTCTTGAGACTTGAGCCAGTTTTTCGTAACTTTTGGTGACTTATTGGGAAGTCGCACGTGGGCCAGAACAGGGCCAGTCTATAGCTTTGCCAATTCTTACTTGATCTTTTAGCGAAATACCTTGAAACTTTTGTAGGTCGATTATCCATCGATCTGCTTTAAAATCGTAGGATAAAATATTTTATATATTTTTTGCCAATTTTTCTTAGGGGACTCCTTTAAATACTTCTATAAATCATGGTTTCGCCCCATGTGGACCAAAACGGTGTCTATATCTTTGCCTATTCTTATCCGATCTTTTTGCGGATTACCTTGGAAGATTAGTACATCGATTCTTCATAGATCTGTATCAAAATATGGGACTAAAATATTTTTAAAATATTTTTTTAATTTTTCTAAAGGGACCTTGGATAAATCGTTGTTGCGCCCCATATCGTTCAAAAGGATGCCTATATCTTTGTTAATTCTGATCCGATCCTTGAGAGGAATACTTTAAAAGATTTTTAGGAGCTCCACCAATTTACATTTAAAACTTGAAATAAAATAATAATTGTTAAGTTAATAAAAAAACCTTTTCAAGGGACTCCTTACAAAATCCTGGTTTAGCTCCATATAGGGGACTGTTCTGTCTATATCTTTGCCAATATCTAACCGATGCTTGAGCGGAATATCTTGAAAAATTTCCTGTTAAAACACATAAGGAATGTATTGGAATTATATGTTTTTAAGTTCCATTTTTAGTAACACAATACCTAATTTCCCCTTCCCTCGCAGTTGACGTTTCCAGTTCTTAATTAAAAGTTAAATGCAATTTCCATCAAGTAGGACTCGCTCCAGATGTCTGGACAAATACGTGTGTACATGTGGGAGGATAATACCCATATCCTCCCCCAACACAGGCCATCTCTGTTGCACCTTTACCACGGCATAGTAGATAGCAAGGCGAGTGAGTGAGAGGGGTGTTATGGATGGGTTTGGGGATGCGACTGAGGTTTTTGCGGTTTGTTCTCTGGATTCGCTCTTTGTTTTTGGTTTTAGGTGTGTGTGTGTGTTTAATTATGTGTGTGTATTGGTATGTCCAGACAGAAGACTGTAAAAATATAGAATTTAAAACAAAAAAATAAAAATACATCCAATCGATTTTTCTACAATTTTTTTTCCAAGCCTTTCAAATGGTGTCTAGTTTAATGGCCATAAAGAGTGTAAACATTTTGGCCAAGCCCACTTCAGTTTGGCCACAATGTTGCCTTTTAACCAAAAGAATAAATACGTAGCTGCGTTGGGAAAAAGGGGGCGTGGTCGGGGCGGAAGACAGGTTGCAACATTTACTCATTTTATGTGCAAATTTGGCGGGCAGTCATTAAGGCGAGATAAACCAAATTTATGTCAGTCGGTTCAAACAAAACAACACCGACGGGTAGTACGTTTATTTTTCTCATTTTTTTGGAGTTAATATGAAGCGAAGTAAATGGAGGGACTGGATACCCTGGAGGGACTTGGCCTGTGACTAAGTATATGTAGGTATTCTAATTAAATTTTATTTTAAAACATTGATTATACTTTATAATATTAAAGGTATTGAATTAAAAGAACTTTAGTTATGTAGGCTTAAAGTCTTTTTAACTATTTTATCAAGAAATAGCTTAAAAGGCAATGATCTAGAGGGTTATATCCTTAAAATGGGTCTATGAGTACCGGGTATAGATTGTCCAAAGCTTCTCTTTCTCTCTCCATCAGTTCCTTCTTTAAATAGTCTTTATATAACCCACTCTCTCACTTCCCTCTTACTTATAAGTATTCTTTCAACCTATACATTTATCCCAATAGTCCATAAGCCTGTCTCTCTTTCTCAGTTATTAGCCATAAGTATGGTAATATGCAATAATGCCACGTACCAAAATTCATAATGATTAGTTCAAAGGGTTGCCGAGTTCATTGAGACCACAAAGAACCTCACACTTTCCACCATACGGCATGAGAGTTTATAAAAGGCGCGTGTTCCTTCTTACTTTATTTTTTCTTTAAGACTTTTTAAGACTCATTTATTTTTTGGGGTAATTTTAAGTTGGCAAATTGATTCGGAAGCCCAGTGAGGTTGTGGCATAAATCAGTTAGGTGACTTTTACGACTCAATTCTCTAATTCTTTCCGCTTGGCTTTCGGCCGTTTGTTGCAGGGAAGAGCTTTACGCTGACCATCACTGTGGCGACCAGTCCGCCGCAGGTGGCAACTTACGCCAAAGCCATCAAGGTGACCGTCGATGGACCCCGAGAACCCCGCTCCAAGACAAGTAAGTAACTCCCGATCCTAAGAATTATGGCCGGCAAATATTACCATATATAGCTTCTTAAAATGTTGATAAAATTGGCTTACAAAAATTTGTATACAGTGTGTCATTATAATATTAAAATTAGTCATCATTACTACATTAGTACAATCATACTTATTTTGATGAAAAAGTATTTTATTTTATATTTCAAAATATTAGTTGTGTTTGTTTCTTTATCTTGAATTCTCAAACATATTGTTTGTGAAAATTATAATGCTTACCCTACTCAAAAATAAGGATTAAAATTAATAACAAACATAAGTGGTTACAGTGTTTTGCCAATTAGCAATTATCACTTGCCACAAACTATTCACAACACAATGAGGCACACAATGCGGGAAAACATAACAGTGCCCCCGCTGCGTTTTGGGTTTTTGAAATACATAGCATATGTCCTTGTCCGCTACAGTGTCCGTGTCCGTGTCCGTATTTGTAGTTCTTGTCCGTATTACGTATCCCCTGAGGTAGTCACTTGGCTAGCAAGTGTTTAAGCCGGGCCAAATAGCTAAGCCGATCTGCTCAATTGGCCATAATCGTCTTTAATGTCTAATCCTTAGCTCAAAGTGTAACAGAAGGTTTTTTCTTACACAATACAGAGAAGAAAAATTATGGGGTTATTATATAAAAAAACAAATTAAATAAAAATATATCCAATAATGGGAAAATAATATTCTTTAAACTATAATTTGTAGGATATATAAAGAAAACAGATTAGAAACTAGCTTTAAACTATTTTTTAAAGGATCTTCTTTTAATTCCTCAACTGGTCCTAACCTATTCAAGCCTGAATATTAACTAATTAAACACACTAACTAATATTACTTAATAAATAATTCAGAATCGGTAAAACAAATACCTCTTAATATTCTACAATATTTCTCTCCAATATATAATTTATTTCCCTCCTAAAGAGTATCATATCTACTTATAATTTTCTTATGGTGTAAACCATATAAGATCCTTTCTCTTCCTGCCCAAGGATCGTGTGACAGGCAATGTCCGCCATTTTTAGGGACTTTCTGTCATTGGGGAAGGTGTTTGAAAAGTGCAGCCGGTTTTAACTGACTGACTTGACTGCCTTTTGAGGCAAAAATCCGAAAGGGAAGGGGGCAACGCTTCTGCTTCTTACGGTTTCTGAAAATTTTGCGGTTTGCAAAGAAAACCTTTTTTTTCTCCTCTCGATTGCCTCTTTTTTTTGTTTTTATTTCGTATATAATGCACATATGAATTAATTTTTTTTTCCACTTGATATTTCGTTAATGCATTTTTAAGTCTTCGCTGCAACGTTAATCGCATATACAGAAGGTAACAGTATATATTGTCATATATATAGTATGTTATACGTAAATTAAAATGTAGCTTGGGCTTACCTTCAGTTTTGAAATAAAGACTAAGAAGTAAAATGATTTTAAGCTTGGCAAAATGGAGTAGCTTTTAAAGTGCTCAGCTTTATGTGGGTTTTTATAAAGTTAAAGGGTTTATTTTTATACCCTTGCAGAGGGTATTATAGATTTAGTCAACTCTATAGCCGAGCATACTCTATCAACTTTATTGCCGACCCTATAAAGTACATTCTCGATTCTCGTACATACATAGGAGAAAACCAAATTTTCAAGGGGTCCCATCACAAAAAATTTACAGAAAAGCTAAAAAATATATTGTCTCAGGATTTTGATGCAAAAAGGTGGCAAATCGATCTAGAAATCGTTTAAGGTACTCCGCTTGAGAATCGGATCAGAATTGGGGAAGATATAGCCATCGTAGTGGACCCTATAGGGAAAAACCCATTTTCAAGGGGTCCCATCACGAAAAATGGACAAAAAATCTAAAAAATATTTTGTCTTAGGATTTTGATGCAAAAAGGTGGCAAATCAATCTAGAATTCGTTTAAGGTAATCCGCTTAAGAATCGGATGAGAATTGGGAAAGATATAGCCATCGTAGTGGACCCTATAGGGAAAAATCCATTTTCAAGGGGTCCCATCACGAAAAATGGACAAAAAATCTAAAAAATATTTTGTCTTAGGATTTTGATGCAGAATGGTGGCAAATCGATCTAGAAATCGTTTAAGGTACTCCGCTTGAGAATCGGATCAGAATTGGGGAAGATATAGCCATCGTAGTGGACCCTATAGGGAAAAACCCATTTTCAAGGGGTCCCATCACGAAAAATGGACAAAAATCTAAACAATATTTTGTCTTAGGATTTTGATGCAGAATGGTGGCAAATCGATCTAGAAATCGTTTAAGGTACTCCGCTTGAGAATCGATCAGAATTGGGGAAGATATAGCCATCGTAGTGGACCCTATAGGGAAAAACCCATTTTCAAGGGGTCCCATCACGAAAAATGGACAAAAATCTAAACAATATTTTGTCTTAGGATTTTGATGCAGAATGGTGGCAAATCGATCTAGAAATCGTTTAAGGTACTCCGCTTGAGAATCGGATGAGAATTGGCGAAGATATAGCCATCGCAGAGGACCTTATAGGCAAAAACTTAAATTTATTTATATAAATGCATTATTTTATTTGTTTTTTAAATGACAAAAATCTGTTTAAATGTTAAAGATATAAATAATCGTAACCTTTCCCTTAACTCCCTTTGCAGGTCCTACGGGTGGCCCCCACTACCGTGCGCTGGGCCTGGGCCAGCGTCCCTACATTGACGGCTTCCCCAAGTCGCTCCACGAGCTGGAGGCACTGCGTCGCACCACCAAAGCTGTAACCACGGCTGCGGCAGCAGCAACGGCGGCCACAGCCGCTACTGCGGTGGCAGCGGTCGCAGCAGCAGTGGCGGTCAGTCCCGCTGGCGGAGGTGGCACAGGAGGTGGGGGCGTGGTCGGGGGATCGGGAGCAGGTCTGGTGCAACAATTGAGTAGCAATTACTCATCGCCGAATAGTACAATCAACTCGGATTGCCAGGTTTATAAACCAAATGCGCCGCATATTCAAGGTAAGTGCAAGCAATACACTGAGAAAAATAAACCATGCAGTTTTAAATAAATATCTATCAAGGGAAGAAGGCCTATAATAATATTTATATGTTTTGATCTGTTTTTGTAGCTATTATTTAATCTTGAAGTCATATCTCTAACGATTTTTAAAGTAGTTTACCAATTATTAGAGTTATTTAAAAAAATATATATCCTAAAATATAATAATTGAATTTTCTAAAAAACAATTCCTCTTTTTCCAAGTGTATCCAACCCGCTATAAGTCTTCCCCTTTCCCTTTTTGTTCTTGGCCCTTTTAATGAAGTTGTTAGCGATGAAAGCTGGCCACGCTTGGGGATTGATGTCTCTGTCCGTCTGTCCGCGTGTCCGTCTGTCCGATTGTCCGCTTGTCCGTCTGTGTAGCTTCGTTGACTGGCACCAGGCTGCCTAAACGTTTTAATTGAGTTAATCAACCTGCCATACACCTTTAACTTTGGTCGCCTCTTGATTTATTTTTGGTATTTTTATGGCGCGCTTTGTTTTTGGCAGACGATCGCTAATTTATTTATTTTCACGCAGCTCAGCTTAAAAATAGTTCAGCGCCATTGTCGTTGTCCGCAAAAAAAACAACAAAACTTAAATAAATTTATAAATATAAAAAATAGAAGAATAGGAGAGTTAAGAGAAAAATTAGTTGTGACTTGAAAAGATAGAGTTATCTTTAATAATTAAATAAAAAGCTATAAGAAAACTATATAATCTGAATATAAAACATTTTTAAAATCTTAAATTAATATGTTTTTTTATATAAATCAGGAAATCTTTCTTAGGAATGAGTAATCCTATTTTATTTTTGTCTATTTCGGTTTAAAACCAAAAAAATGTAAACCACATGCCACGCCCCTATTTGGCAACCACATGCTAGACCTTTTGGGGGCTTATAGAACGGCATTACCAGTGCCAATCAACCCAGTATTACCTCCTCTATTTGTTGTTGTTTTTGTGCCTGGCGTTACCAACTAATTTTAGCCAAAAATCCAGAGAGAAGGCTTGTCTTTTCGGGGACACGCGCGTTTCGCGAGCGGTTTTAAACGCGGCTTCAACCAGTTCACACCAAAACCATCTGTCACTTAATAAATATATATATATATATATAACATATATAACTGATATAAATGTGTGATCTATTATCATGTATAATGACTATTTTTGGGTTGCCATGAGAGCTTCGTCCAGACAATGGAAAATTTTACAAGCATTCCAAGGCGATTGTCTTAAAAATTTGATTAAAATCGAAATGTGTGTTATGGATTTGGAAAGGTGTACTATTAGGGATTGAATATTATGGTAGTATGGTATTGGAGGGGCACTGGACTGCCCCTGAGTCACGGATGAGTCAGTGGCCAGTTTGGAACTAGACGAATCTGAGCCACAAATCGCCGTGTTAAGTCCAGAGTTAAGCGCTTCGCGTTTTGCGTATGCTAATTAATTTATAAATGTGTCTTTTACGCTGTCGGTGTACTCTTTGGAAGAGTCTTTAGGTTTTTTTAAAGGTTTATCGTTATTTTTTTAAGTGCATTTTTAAGATATAGCTACTCAGTTTAAGATATAAAAACTCAGTTCACAAAATTTATTCCATTTTTGAAAAGAGTTGCTTTTTAAATCCGAAAATATATTTCTTTGATTTTTAAACTAATCCTAAAGCTGCCTAGATGTAAATACATAAATATTTCAAAACTATTATTTATAGCTTATAAACATTAAATTATAATTTTCTAAACGAGCTTAAAAGAAACGTTTGCTTGAATATTCTGAGAATGTTTTTTCTAAAAAGCTAGAAGCTATTTCTTACTCCATTTTATTTTTGTTAAAAATAATATTTTTTTAAATTTATTTTAAGAGTATTAATATCTCCTACATTATTTTAAATTATGTATACTTTTTTTTGGGATTTTTATTTTCCCCATTTGGCGGAAGGGGGCAGTTGACTTTGATTGTGAACGAGCCTGGTCGAAATGTATTGTCAATGGGGAATGACACATCGTTGACTTGGCCGACGTCTTTCAATTAGCCAAAAGCAACAACAAAAACAATAACAATAAACACAACAACAAATGCAATACGATTTGCTAAACTTTTTTTTGTTGTTGTATTTTTGTTTAAAGAGATGGAACCGGAAATGCCCGAATCGAAACATTGAAAGCGAGAAATCCAAATCGGAATCGAAAGCCTCTATAGAGCGATTTTGTTTCTCTTTTTTTTTATTTTGCTTCTTTTCTTGTTGTTGTTGTTAAGCCATAAATATTTAAATGTGGCGCTTAAGCTGTTAATTTACACAATATTAAGCAGCAACAAAAACAAAAAGTAAAAAAAATATAAAAGTCATCTGGCAAGCGAACAGAATTCAACGGAAATCGTTGCTGAATTCAAAGAAATCGGGTTCAGATTGTGGCAAAAAAAAATATGTGTGTAACCTGGGCTAAAAAGTGAAGGAGTTAGTTGCAAAAATAAATCAAATCAAAAATAATAATAAAATAGAGAAAAAGGCTACCAAAAATAGTTAAGCCCATAATGATAATTGATGATAAGTGAGAGTCTCAGACGTCCCAGTCTGCTAAAAATTATTTATAGGCTAAAAATTACAAAAGATAATAAAAACATAGATATTTTAGGTGCAAATTTGTAGGTCTTCATTTATGAAATTCTTTTCTTTTGTTTTTTTTTTTTTAGTGTCTGTGTCTAAAAGTAGTCTATTTTATTCAGAAATATTCAAAACAAGTAGTAAAAATTTCTACAATTTCTTCTACAAATATTCATACCTAAAACAACAGTTTCTTTAAAAAATTAAACATTCCTCACGATCTATAAAAAAAGTCTAAAAATTCCCTTCTAATTGTTTTTGTGGTTCCTGAGCACCACAGACACCTGTGGCTGCTGCCTGATGTAGATGCCCCAAGTGGCAAGTGAAGCCCCAACAGATGTTGCAAGTTAGCCTAAAAAAATACAAAAACTGCAGAAAAATTCAAAGCTCACACCTTCGTGTTGCAATTCATTAAAGAAAGATTCTGGAAAGAGGAGCGTGTGCAATATGCAAATTTATCGGGGGTTTTATGGGGTTAGTTGGGTTTTTTATTATATTTTTTTTTCTCAATTTTTTAATACGTATGTATATATTTGCGGGTTGGCAAGTTCTCGCCACAAATCAATCCAAATGCGGTTGCGCAGCTGTTGCAGCTTCACTCGAGATGCTGCTGCTGCAAGATGCAACATGCCACACCCCGTAGTAGGGCTGAGGGGAGGCCCAAGAGGGTTAACACTCTTGCAACAACAACAATGTCACACACATATTGAAATGAAATCTTTTTGGCCCATAAAACAACCAACTGTGGCAAACCAACTTTGGTTTTTTTACAATTTTTTTTTTATGTTGTAAACTGTTTTCTTTTTTGCTTTTTTTTTGTTTTGTGGTACCACCAATGGCCGCAGTCAGTCTACATCCCACCTCCATCTGCCCGCTCTTACGGGCTTCACTCTTTAAAAACCCAATCCCGAGACCCAAAAAACCGCAAACTCACTTCCGTTTCGTATCGTACTTGTTGTTTTTACCGCCATTTTGCAGTCCGAAAAAGTCCAAGTAAGTACTACAAAAGGGAACACCTATAAAAAAAATGTTGTTAAAAACGAAAAAAAAAAAAGAAACAGCATTATTCAGGCCAATAAAAGCAGCAACAACTGTTACTGCTGCCAATACAAAAAGGCTAAAAAGAAACGGGCCAAAAGAATTCTGGCGGAGGCACTTTAATTAAAATTACTTTAAGCCTCCTAAAAGTAAGTTGTGTCTTTTGGTTTTGCACTGGAAAAAAATAAAGGTAACCCCTTTGGGAGAATTTTAAATAATTTAGTTTCATTGGGATGAACTTTTTATAAGATATTCTCTATAGATGTGTGGTTATTCTAGTTATAGGTATATGTTTATACCAGTTATAGCAGTTTATACATATACAAATCTTAATGATAAACAAACAGTATCATGGTCACACTTTGTTTTATGCATATAACATGGTCACTTCTTATTAAAAGATATCATATTAAATATGTTTAGATACTAATCAGATACTCATAGATATTAATTGATATTAAACGAAGATATAAGATATGGAAAGGATCATAAAATTTTATTATAAATATTAAAAAACTCTGACTTTATCTTTTATGATCTTCATTTAGTTTATATTGTCTGTAAAATATTATTAGGTCACACAGTTCCTTAATGAAAATATCTTAAAAATCCAAAGATATGCTTAGATTAATACAAGATCATTAAACGAAAATGATGTAAAGATATCTGGACACCTTCTGTTTTTGGACCTGCCTGGCTTTTTGTAAAGAACTTTGCAGAAGCTGGCACTCGAAGTCACCTTACTCCACCTTATTTCACATCACATTTTGTGGTTTCAATTGATCCGACTGCATCCGCTTCTCATTTGAACCCTTTTCCTTGTCTTTTTTTCGAGTTGTTGCTTTTTATTTGCGAGCGGATATATGGTCGAAAATCGAAGATATCCGGTCGAAGCCGTGGGATTCTCTTCCACTTCACAACAGGCCCAATGCAAATTCAAAGATGTAAAGACATTAGAGTTACCTTGGTGCTTTCCAGGATGGAATTTTTCTTGTTTCTCTTTGCATAACCACATCCCCTACTACTACTTGAAGTACGAGACCTACGTTGCGTATACGCAATTTTCTGGTTGCAACAAAAAATAGGAGGGACGGGGCTACAACGAAGAAATTCGCATAATTCCACGTGCCTGAAGTAAATTATACGGTAGGAAAGGCCTCACCTGACTCACCCTCCTCCCTCTGGACTGACCCCTTCTAATTTAAAGGCTTCTCTCTCTTTCCCTCTCTTAACTTGGCTAACTGGGCTTTGGCTTTGGGCTTTCATCCTGGTCGTTTCGCTTCATTGCAACCTCATTTGGGTCTTAGTTTTGCGGTGGTCTGTTACCGCCCAACCTTACCACTAAATGCCCCGCAGCCCGCAACCTACCCTACCGCCCCTACCCCACCCTCCGCTTGCTCGTTTCCATTCCCATTTTAGCCAAGTTGGTTGCAACGCAATTTGCGCCTTAATTGAAACATTAAAATGTGATAAGTGACGGGTGAAAAGTTGCATGCAACTTACCATTTTCCCTTACCTTTCATTACTGGCCGCTAGCCACGCCTCTGATTTAAAATAGAGGGCGGGGCTATATACTAGTTGCAAAAGGGTTATGATACTTTATACACACATAGGGCCTGTTGTCTCGGCATATAGGAAATTATTTTATGTAAAATACTTAATTGAGAAGTAACTGTATTTTTATTGGCTTGTTCGTTTTATTAGTTATAGGTACACACTATTTTGCTTTTAAAGGACCTTTTGCAATGTGATCATTTAGGTATGGATTTTGACAAATTAAAAGCTAGAAAATACATTAAACGGTTTAGACCAGAATTAATAAACACTTAATTAATAGCCATAAACACATTTTTAAACTTTCTCCTTAAACTAGTATTTATTGATTAAAAGATTTAAGAAAGCTTATATTATTTTTTAAATTACTCTTTTTCAAAATAGATAAATATCACTAAAAAAATACTTCCTTCTTAATGATCTTTGTGTTGGCTACCTGAAGTTGAGCTAAGAGTCATCTTCTTTTCAATTTAGCTTATTTGTGTTTAATTCTTTCCCCACTTGCCATATATTTTCCTCCTTTATCGCAGATTTCATAATAAATTTGATTAATTATGCGACATTTTTGTCGCTGCCTTTTTGGGGCATCTGACAGGGGACGAGGGGGCTATCGCGTAATTAATCAAAATATTTGAGAAACAGGGCAAAAAGCTGCGATGTCCTGTTGAGTTGCTTAGGTAACACACCTCTTGGAATTTTCTTTTTCGTCTTGCCAATATTTTCCTTAACCCTTAACCCTGGTTGGGTCTAAGAATATGGTTGACTTTTGGTGCTCGTGGTGGAAAGGGTTAAAATGTTACACACATGCCTTCGTCGTTTGTTGTTGCCATGCATATGAAATGATGTTTTTCAATTATCCTTTCGGCCACGCCCACCTTTGTGTCTGACAACTTGGCGAATTCCATCGGGTGGGTGGGGCGACCAAGGGTTAACTGCTAGGGCGTGGGGGTAATCGAGGGTTAATTGGCCTCCAGCTGGCAAGTATTTACTGAATTTTTAATCATTGTTGGCATATTTTCATTCCTTTCTTCTTCCTAATTCAAAATATATATGTTTTAGATAATTTTTTTTAATTTTTCCCATTGGGATATGGTGGTTAAAGTATAAAAAATAAAAAAAATATTATTTAAAAAAAGTGCCTTCCTCCTCGATTCTCATAGGGGGCACTTAAGGTTCAGAATACAAAAAAAATAATAAAATGAAATATTAGGAAAAAAAATGTTTAAAAATACTAAAATAATTACATAATGTCTACATAAATATATATATTTGTACATATATATCTACACAGATAAATATATTGCCTACATCTACATATTTTATAATAAAAACAATTTTCTAACAATTTTTTATTTATTTATTTCCAGAAACTGACTTAATGGGAGCCGGCGAATGGACAGGATCCCCGAGCACAGCGGCGTCCTACTACCATCCCCACCACCATCCACACGCCCACCACCCGCACGCTCATCCGCACGCCCACCTCCACCAGCACCAGATGGCACTTCCTCCTCCCCCGCCACCTCCGGCGGCCGTTCCTGTCTCCGTTACGGGGAATGGTGCCACCATGGGCGTCGGCATGGGCATGGGCGTTGGAGTGGGCGTGGGCATGGGCGTAGGGGCAATGAATCCGTACGGCGGCTACGATGCTACCAACTCTCTGGAGGCCGGGAATTACGCCGCTCATCTTCCGGGCGTTCTGCCGGAGATGCACGGACATGCCTTCGCCACGGATCCGTATCAGACGGCGGGCTATGCTACCGGAACGGGGGGCGTGACCTCGGGAGGCGGAGGCAATTCTGTCGGCAATGCCGGCGGCTCCAAATCAGAGCTGGACTACGGCGGGGGGCTACAATCAGGCGTGGTCGAACGGCTATCAGAACTACCAGTACGGCAGTTGCTCCGCCACGGCTCAGTACGGCCCGCAAACGGCGGCCGCGCCACCGCCACCTCCACCGCCCCCCGTGGTGCTGTATCCGCAGCTCTACTCGACGGTCAATCAGAATCAGATCCACCTGCACCTGCACAGTAGCGAGAAGCTGGAACAGTATCTGGGCTCGGCCGCCGGCGGGGGGGAGCAGTTGACGATCAGCTCCCTCACCGGGAGCAGCAGATCCAGCATAGAAATCGGCCAGGATCCCTACCAGCATCACCAGCAACAGCATCATCAGCATTCGCATCAGCACTCGCAGCAGAATCCGCAGCAGGCGGAGCAACAGGTAGTGGCCGGAGGGGCTGGCGGTGGCGGCGATGTGGTGGAGTCCCCCCGGGAGGAGGACGTGGGCGATCTCACTCCGGTGTGGCGACCCTATTGACCCAATCGGATAGCCCGCACTTTACCGCCGCACTACCCACATCCGCACACACATCCGCATACCCATCCCCATTCCCATTCCCATCCCCATCCCCATTCCCATCCAACTCCGCATCCGCATCTGCAGCCACAACTGCATTTGCATATTGAACTGAATTAGAAAACAAAAAAAAAACAGCAGAAAATGTACAATTTCAACTCTATTTTTTTTTTTTAGTTTTTTTTTCTAGTTAATAAAATATTTATAATAAAATGCTTCATCTAAAAAAAATCAAGTAAGTGTATATAAAATTAAGGCATAAAGGAACTTTGAAGACTATATCCCTTTATATTTTTCAATGATTTTTACAAATCTTAAATATTTAACTTTATTATTTAAAAAAAAAAAAAAACCAGCCAACAGGACAGTAAATATTTTAATATGTTATAGACTAATACTTATTTTTCTTCATTCACTAGACTTTTTTTAAACAAAACTTTTACCTTTGAAAATTAAAGTTATCAAAGTTCCATTGCCATAAAAAATAACTTTAAAATATTATCATGCAAAAACACTCAAAATGTATGTAATCCCTTGAAAACATAACTTCAAGAATAAATGTACATAAAAGAAGAATATTATTTAAAGCATAAGAGCCACTGATTAAAAGTAAACGTAAATATTAAAAGTAAAAAAATTATGTAGCGAACCCTTAATTTAGAAAGCACCAAACTCCCCACAAAACCTACAAAGTTAGAGAAATAATAAAACAACTTTTTTTTAATAGCTTTAAGCCAAGAATGATACTCCTTAAAGTCGCACAACTATCTATGAATATATGAAAAATATATATAAATTAAATATAAATTTTTTTTTGTTACTTTGTGTATGTGTGTGACTGAGTGTGTGAATCCAAAGCCAAAGGATTCAAAATTTATAAAAAAGAAAATTGAACAAAAAAATTATTGATAAAAAAAGACTATAAATAAAGTTATTGTATTTATTTAAAAAGTGATTGTTTTTAAAGGGGTGTGTACATTTTTGATATAAATATTTTACAGATATTTTTTTTTTAGAAAATTAGGCTTGAATTGTGCAAAAAAATGTGTTTTGTGTTAACCACAAACGAAATGCAGAAACTTTATTTAATTATGTGCATATTTTAGTCTAATCTAAAAAGCAACAATGGCTCAACAGCAACAACAAAAAATTCGCAACAATTGCAAAAAGAAAAAAAAAGAAAAAGATAAAAAACAAATCATGAATTTTTGAGTGCGAAGCCTTAAAAATGCGCGTGTAAATAATAAATTAAAATTATTGCCAAACATAATAACCACAAAATGTGCACAGAAATAGCATCCACCTCTTTCTAGCCTACATACGTGTATGTCTCTGGGTAGAGTGCCCCCTCTCTTTCTGGGCTAAATGTGTAGTGCCCTCTCTTTCACATGACGATCTCCGATCTGTGGAAGCTCTAGTTCCATTTTCATTTTGTAGCCTCTCTTTTTGCGGTTAACCCTCCTTGGCTACCATGGCTTAAATAAATTGTACCGAAGAAGCAACAGCAGCGAGCTTAATATTTAACCCACCATGTTGGGTCCACCCCACCCCACTGCCTCATTTTAACACCCTGTTGGCCAAATAAGTGGCTTTAGGTGCCTTTGGGTGCCGCCATTGTTCCGCCAGCTATTCCGCTGGCATGCAAATCCAAGACAAGTCACTCAAGTGTTAAATTGCAAAAGACATTTCCATTGTCGGCAATTGCGACAACGGAAACCCTAGACACGGAGACCCGAGATCCGAGATCCGAGACCCCAGTTTCGAGATCCGAGATTCGAGACGGGGGCTCTATCCCATCGATAATCTATACTTTTATGGTCTATCCACTGAAAATATTGGAGAAACAAATGATGGTTCTTGGCCTAAGACATGGGCTGACTTTTGGAGAAGTCATTATCATCCTAAATCTATTATAGATTTTATGTCTTTATTTTTTTGAAGATAACTAATAATATATCTAACTATTTAATCCCTTTTTTTTCTCAACTCAAAGTGTAGAAGCCAGATCCAGGCAAGCGTTAAAGATCTGTGCTCCCCTCAACCCTTTGGATTTTGAAACCCCTTTTGGAAGGCCTGGCAGAAGCCCGACACACGTCTCCCTCAAGATCCCCGCCCTTCAGATCCCCTCCAGAATATAGTAAGTGATCCACTCCAGTGTCTTGCGGTGGCCCAGAACAAAAAAAAAAGAAACACGACAAAATAAATAAATAAAAGGTGAGCCAATGTTGGCTTACAATACAGAGAGTAACTTTGTCAGCAGTTTATGATGGGCGAATTGAATTACCATTGAGGGAAACTGTAGAAAGAGCTGAAAACCTGAAGCCTGAGCCGAGTCATGAGCTAATTAACTCCCAGTTCCACTGATCCAGTCTAGGAATATGTACAATCCATGTAAGCCGGCTACCGTGAGGAGTTCAGAGCACCTGGGTGGTCCTGTCCGGTCGGTTAAAGCCTGTTTATGAATGGGGATCGGTTTTGTGAATCGAGATCAGGGTACAAGGATATTGACCCACATACCGAAAGCTGATCCTTTTCTTGGGTTCTATTTTGGGATTGGACTGGAAAGTCCGTCAATGACGTAAATTGACATTATTAATTTTCAAAGAAATTATGCTTTATCATTATTATGATATCATCAACCTGATTTCACAGGTTTCAAATCATTTAACCTTTAAATTAGCAAATCCAATGATTAAGAATGAATCATCGTATTGGGGAATCATCTTTATGAAAATTAGGCATAAAATATTTAGTACTTAATGGCTGATTATTTAAATTATTTTTGATTTGCAGAGAAAGGCTTCTATAACTCTTTCTCAGTCCTGCTTATTGTTTTTCTCTTTTTAGCTTTACTGGAATGAGGTTTTTTATTCATTAGCTTTGACTTTAACCGAAAAAAATGGACGAAAGGAAACTGTAATGACACAAAGGGCAAAGAAGCTGCTAGAAAAAAACTTTCTTTCTAGCCAACTGGCTTTTCAGCTGGTTCTATCTCTTTTACCAGCAATGTGTCTGTCTCTCTCCTTCTCTTATTTACTAGTTTGGTCTATTTAAGCCCGTGTAATGAACAAAAATGAAGACAACATGGCCATTGTTATTTCTGTCTTTCTACGTTAAATATTATTTTTTACTCTCTGAAAAAGTTGTACCCTTTCTCTTATAGTATATACTTGATTAATATACCTATTCCTAATTACAATCATCTTTCCGTGAGTCCTATCTTCTATCCTATTTAATTAAAAAGTATTAATACGTTCCTGGGCGGGCTTAGCATCTGTGTGGTATTTAAAAAATACCTGTGATAGTAATCACGCGTGGTTTTATACTAAATACTGCACCCTTCGATAGTTCCGCCCCTACCACGCTCACTTTCTCCTCCCCATTGGGGATCAAGTGCGATCACTAAGAGCGTCTTATTGTTTTGCTGCCAAATTCTTACTTAAATCCAGTGTTTAAGATGAATCTTTCGTTTAATCTGTATTACAATATCATGCTGGATATTACAATTTCGATTAATAAGTTGTTTACATTATTCCAAGTAATAGCGTAGGTGAGTAATTGCTGTGCGTTTGTCATTAAAGTGCATGGTGCCAGTTAGTACCTGTGTTTGGTTATTTCAAATGCACTTTTTCTCACAGAAACCTCTAATAAACAAAGTCGACCACATTAACTTTTAACCATTTAAATACAGTTTTTTAATGCAACCAATGAAATATGGTGAAATTCCTGGCATGTCCTCCATCACGGCAAGTGTGCGGCAGTGTCCCCACCGAACAACAGCCTTCATATATTTTACATACATATGTAGGAACAAGGAGGATGTATGTAAATTACAGATGTATATCAAGTAAATTACATAAATTATGTACATAAAAGCCTATGGAAACTCAGGTAAGTTTATTAAAGTTTATATTTATAATTTTTTTAGTTAGTAAACATTTTACTCCTTTAAAACTCGTACTCGTACTGCTTAACTCGTATTATTTAATAATTAAAAAACTTTAAGAGTATATAAGCTTCGCCTCTGCCCCAAATCTAGCTTTCCTTTCATATTTTTTTATACTGTTATTTATGGTGTCGAGTTGGGGTGCGTGTTTTGTGCAAATAAACCAAAATGAAATCCGCAACAAAAGCCAACAGGCCAGAACGGAGAGAGCTGGCCAAAAAAAAACATAAAAGACCAGTTAAGCGCCACCCACAAACGTGCGCAAACACACAAAAATAAAACAACAATGCAGACACAACAAAAAATCGGCTTAAAAAGAAAACCAAGTCAAGAAAAACCAATACAAAAACAAAAAAACAACTGAAACGAATTCCAAAAAGGTATCCACCCACAAAAAAGAGAGTTAAGAGAGAGATAATAGACCCCAAGACCTCAAGAGAGGGCTAGCTGACAAAGAGCGTGCTCTGGGCTTGAGGAGAGAGAGAGAGAGAGAGAGTGTTTTAGGCCAGGTTAATGGGGTAGGCCAAGGTATGGCGGGGTTTTCCAAAGCAGATGGTTATAAAAAAATATGTTTTTAAATGATTTTTGTAATTTTTTATTTAGTTTAAGCAAAAAAACTATTTTTTTTAAAATTTTCAATTTAATTAAATTGAACTTAAATTGAAATATTTTAAATTTAAAGTTATAAAAACCTAAAAAACAAATACTTAAACTATAGGATGACTTGGCTGAATTTGTCTCTTTAGCAAAGACCTACTCTCTTAAGTTATATTCAGCGCAATGCGCTCTTAGCCTTTAGTTTTATTTTTTTTTAATTCGAGCCGAGTTCCGATGAAAGGCCCAAAGTGATTCATTGGATCATTGGGTTTTTGGCCCGCTTGTTGGCCATATAGAGGCATGAACTCTGCCACTCTAGTGACGTTATAGCTCCGCTGATTAAGCCCAAACTTGAATGATGATATACTTGAATTCAAATGGATCTTCGATATGGATTTAACCCAGATCTATATATAGCTTATATAGAGAGCAAGAGAGCTAAGAGACATCGGATAAGAAAGGAATTTCCCGCCACTGTGTGTGACGTAG